ACATTTAAATTTGACAGTCAAAGATAAATATGAGACAACAGATCAATACTTCAGCTTTTAATTCCATGTATTTACATCTGGATATGATACACAACTTTGAGGATAGCATTTGGAATGGTACACCAATTTGGGGGTGAGCAAAGGTATCAGAACAGATAGACTTATAATAGATTAGGGTGAATAATACACAATATCTAGCAACAAATCTTTTGCTTGCAATAACTGCATCAAGCCTGTGACCCATCCCCAAACTTTTGCATTCTTTTGTGATGCTTTACCAGATTTCACCGCAGCCTTTCAGTTGTTGTTTGTTTTGGGGGTTAGTCCATTTAGTCTCCTCTTTCGCAGGTAAAATGCATTCTCTATAAGGTTTAAGTCTGGAGATTGACTTGGCCAGTCTAAAACCTTCTACTTTCTTGTCCCTGATGCACTTATATGTTGTTTTGGCAGTATTTTTTTTTTGTTTCATTATCTTGCTGCATGGTGGAGGATCTCCAAATCAGTTTAGTTGCATCTTTCTTTAAATTGTTGGCATTAAAACTTTGTCCTTGATATTGAGGTCCGTTTCTATCCTTTTTGGTAAATAAGACCTGGCCATCCTATTCCTCTAACAATGAATGGTGTAGCCTCTGTACTTGTGTTCATTAAGTCTTCTGGGAACAGGAGATTGTCAGACCTTCAATTCTCCCCTCTGGGAGTTGTTGCTGATGTCACTGACAGTTGTTTTCGGGTTTTTCTTTTAAGGTCTCACAATCTGTCTTTAAGTGCTGATGTTTTCTTGGTCAACCCAATTGACGTCTGTTACTAAGTACAAAAGTGTTTTATTATGTTTTTCTTCTTCAGGACATTCCAAATGGTTGTACTAGCTATCCTCACCATTTATGTAATCAATCTGATTGATTTTCTATCTTTAATCTTTCCATCTCCAAGCTTCACAAATGATTGTCTTTTACCCATTGACAGCTCTCTAGTTTACATGTTGGTTACACCTCTAACTATAAGTGCAATTTGCATGGGCAAAACCCAAATCCAAAACAAAGAGTAGACATTCACCACTATTTATTGTTGGAATAACCGATGTAATAGGATATACCTGGGTAACAAAACACAACTGTCAGTCACATGTTCCAATAAATTTGCTTACATGAAAAATAAGTTGATTCAAACTAAATGTGCTATCTTCTAAGTTGTGTATCAGATCCAGATGTAAATACCTGCAAATAAAAGCTGAGATGTTTATTTTGACCTACATTTATGTTTTCGGTGTACAGCAAAAATAAAGAAATTGACCTCACTATTCCAATACTTTTGGATGGTAGTGTATTTTCTCAAGGACCATAAACACAAACATGGATGTTTTTTACTGTATTTTGTTTGCCAGATTGAGTTTCTGGTTTTTAACCCTTTGAATTTACGACATATATTGATTGTATAATTTTCATTGTGATATTGTATTTTCTACACGGTTTGCACTTGCTCGTGTTATGAGGAACCCAGGAAGACTAGCTGATTGCTATGGCTTCAGCTAATGGGTATCCTTAACAAACAAATAAACAAATAAACAAACATATAATATACATGCATGTTTAGCGTAAGGTGTAAAATAGTGACTGCATTTGCATTTCCTTACTGAGTCAGGTCTTGGCCACATTCAGCACACAAACCCTTCATTACTATTGGATGGCTGCATTCTTCAATTCTGATGATTATGCCCCTGAAAAAGGAAAAAGCATATTAGTGTGTCTCTTAATGTGGCAAAAAACACTATTCGTTGGGATGCTTTGAGTAAATGGCAAATATTGGATCGTAATCCAGGGTAAAAATATGTAAATCTTGTCAAACTGTTTGTATTCAACAGGGATACAAAGCCTGGTTATGAAGCGCACATCAGTTTTTCACATTTTCAGAATCACTGCATATAGCTGATGCTTTACCATCCTGTATACTACAGGTTGATTGATATTGATATTACACGACCAATACTAAATTAAAAAAAAAAGAATAAAAGTAGCAGTAACTGATGTTGAGAGATTAATTGCGAGAGTGGTGAGTGAAAACAGTCCTTGAGGGTAAGACATACCTGCAGTAGAGCCACTTTTGTACACTTTTTATTTGAAAATCAGGGCATTATACTATCTTGGAAACCTGCTTGGACTTTCAAAACCACACAATAATAAAATAATTTTAATCTAAACTAGTGGAAGAGTCCCACTATGACTATTAAGCTCATATATGACTGACATTACATGGTAGCACGACCAAGAAGCTGCTGATAAATACATGTTCTGTTATTTTGAAACTGTCAGTGGGGAGGTAGGGGGGCAGGAGTTAAACTTTACACCGCTGTCTGCCATTCAAGCAGCTCGTCCTCAACGTGCGAGTGTAGGATGCATCAAGACACAAGCAACGAGGGAACGTTTAACGTGACTTTGCCTTCAGAATAAAACATCATCGACTGTTTGAAACTGTAATTTCACGTCAATAGTAAAAGAGGGGGAGGAACATTCGGGGGACAGCTTACTGGAAACAAATTTACTTAGAAAAAATGTTGATTCTGCCTGGAAGCTGATACGCCCGACGCTCTTTATTCGTGTTTCTTAACGGCTAAGCACTGCTTTTTTTATGAGAGCACTTTTATTTTGAAACCTTTGGTCGACAGTCTCGTTTGTTAATTTGATGTCTTAACTGCAATTCTTGCAAGCTCTGTGAGCGTTGGTTTTAGAGCGGCTAACAAACAAGCTAACGTCAACACACTTAAATACTTACCAATGTTACCTTGTTAGCTAGCTATCTTTGTGCTAGGGGTGTATTCATTGACTGGCAAAGCGGTACAAAAACCTCAGCTCGCATGTGTGTTTTTGTCTTCCCAAGCTGCTAACGTTGCAGCGTGCCATGACTCACCCGGGGGGTATGACTTGTCCAAGTTGACAGCAGAGCTCCTTAACTACTCCAGCACGGTCCGATTTCACCTTCTTTTCTGGCAGCCTCGTTGTCTCTGCCCCCATGTCCTGGGGTATAGGGGCACACAGTGCAAGCACGGAATCCACGTTAACAAGAGAACCAGGTTTGACTTTCCACTCTAGAAGTCGCAAAGGGAGAGCCCCACTCAGCCAGCGGATATCTGCCACCTGCACCGCGGGGCCCTCTGCTGCTGCACCGCCGCCAACACCGCCTGAATCTGTTGGAGGTTCCTCCATCTGCTCTGCACAACCACAATCCCCTTTGTTTTCAATAACGGTCCGCTTGTATCCTACGCACTGGACCTCGCAATGCCCTGTGAACCATTAAAACGTGTACATTATCAGCTGCAAATGGAACTAATACAAACGCGCTGCCTATCAGTGCACTGAAGCCTCCACTCTGTCCGGTTGGTTCACTCTTCCCGCCCGTAAACAGGAAAGCGCAATACTGCAGCGACACGGCTTGCAACAGCATCCGGTGGACAATGCAACGGGATACCTGACACCACTTACATATAAAATACTTTGTAAAACGCCGCTTTTGAATATACTTATGCCCATTTTAAGTCATCCATGCGTTAAAAATGATTTGTAAATTCCCTTTTTATACTTTGAAGAAGCTAGAAACCCGAGTGACTAAAGATACCTCAAATTATTTTGGTTTTATATCGACAATTCCAGTTTTATTTTGAATTTGCTTTCATTACGCTTTAATTTATCTCAAATTTTGTTGTGCGTTCGATTCGTTTAAAAATTTTCCAGTCATTGTTTGTTTTAGATTTTAGGCTAAGCAGTTTATGTAGATGTGATTCTTCTGAAGACAACCTCATGCTTCAGGTTTTTATTGTCCACAGTGTTTTGTTGTTGTTGTTTGTTTGTTTGTTTGTTTGTTTGTTTGTTTGTTTGTTTGTTTGTTTATTTTTTTTCTTCAGATGGGGACCGTTGTCCCTGAGTTACCTGCATGATGTTATATGATATAACAAAGCGGTAATACTACACACTTGTTCTCCTCATGGGGCACCTCCGTGTCAAACTTAAACAATTCGTGGCTCGCTGTACGAGTTAGGCTGTAAACGGTCAATAATGTATCTTTTACACTTCAACGCAAATTACCTGTAAAATTCAAAGCAATAAAACGGCAATATTGCACACTATCCACTGGTACTTCGCTTAAAATACATTCGGAAGGTATAGAAACTTGACAAAAGTGATACTGATGCCTTTGTATTGCCTTAACAGCAAATGACACCACCAACCACCGCCATTGCTGTTGTCCCTTTTATTTAATTCCTGCTCCACGAGTTCCAATAGGGCGATTGACCACATGCTGTGGGAAGACCACGTCCCTTATTTTCCATTGCAAGTAATTAAAGTTAGTTAAATGTTTGCTTGTCAAATAACAACATATAAATAATATTTTCACTTTAAAATGTGTAAAATGGGAGCACCTCAAAGCCTTGTTGACAAGAGAAGCCAGGATCACCTCAGACCAAAAGTTCTTCACAGGAGCTTTGACTTCACTTGTGATGTACTTTTATTCGAAAGCTACATTTCCTACACAAGAACAATCCAGGCAGATGGCACATCACTTTACATCGACTGGATACATAGTGATCAGTTAAACACTGTTCAAATAAGGGTAATTATGTATACCACACTTTTTTTATGGATAGCACCCTCGATACGATTTGACTTAACTTAAACTGGACATCTAACATAAAAGAGCACAAGAAGCGCCGCCCCGCCAGTGCGTAGTGATATGAACGAAAACGGAAGTGTCTGGTTTTCTCTTTGTCCCAATCCCAATTCGCCCCCTACGCCCTCCGTTGACGCGTTCCCGCGGAGGCTCTGCCATGACGAGTGCGGTCCCAAACGACGTAGTGCGGAAGGCGAGTGCACCGTTCAGTTCTCAATAGCGAGTCTGCACAGATGCACACTTACAACCATAGACATTTTGTACGTAGACGCCTCATTTACTGATGCAGTGTATGTAAGCTCACGTATCAGCGCGGCCGCCATCTTGGATGGGTCCCCCATGCACCCACAGTGCATATACGTATTCTGTAAAGGAAGGTAAGAATGCCCAACTATACGAATCATGATTCCCCAGAATTTTACCAGATTTTCACAGGGTTTGGTTTGTCACAAACAGCAGACATGACGCTATGATACAAGACCTTAGACTGTATATAGAATGGACAGCTTCTGCCTCCTTGCTCCCCCCGCTTGCGGTGTTGACATGTAGTTACAGTAAGACTAGTTTGTGCTCAAGTCTTCTTTTTTTCTGTGAACCTCCGTTTTTAGTTTCTATAGACGAACAGCTTTTCAGACTGTTTCATGAACTTTGAAGGGATAAATTTACTGACTATGAACCGTAATTTTACTCCAAGTAACAGAAATAGTTTAGAAATGTTTGGTTTATATGTTAATCATTTATTTAGTCTTTTTAACCATTAGGTGGTTATAATGTCATTGAATAATCTGAATGTGAGTATAACGAATCCATTATGAATCATGATGAGGTTTATCTATATGTGTTTACTCTTTTGTTGTTCACAGTTTCTATGTGTTACTATCTGTTCTATTTCAGAGTAATTCAGCATGTTCAGTGTGATACTTAAAACATAATGAGAATGTTTAATGTGATCCTACATTTCTTCATATGTGTTTAGTATCAAATCATTTATCATGAAACCAAGCATTTAATAGCATTAATCATAGTGAGTGAGTGTCAGATCTGACTCTTTTACCAGCCAAAAGTATAAGTTAGATCAAATAATCAGGGATCCAAGAGGTCTCCTCTGCAGTTGGAGACCCCATGACCCCTCCTCTTTCTCCTCACACACACACCCCAGAGACACTCCCAGTGTGAAGGCGATAAAACCAGTGAAGTTTTTCCACTTGTTTTTCCGGGTCTTCTCTTAGCCCTCTTCTTTGTTTTCTCTTAGCTCTTACTCTTACTACTTAGTCTTAGTTTTTTATAGTCTTCTAAGTTTTACACCACGTGTTCATTCACGTTGATTTTTCTTTAACATCGTCTTAGTTCAAGTTTTGAAACTTCAACTTTTTGTGCGCATAGCAATCCAGTATCAAGTTTTCAATTGATTTTTCTTTAATTTCACGAAGCCATTTTTGAAATTGTTTCGATTGGCCATCCAACCTCTTTTCCTGAGTTATCTGGGTGATTTCAAAGTCACCTCTAAACGCCACTGAGCAGGCCCAAAGTCATCCTCTGTGCCAGAGTTTGTGGTGAGACCAAAGGAGCATTGAGTAGGATACATACGGTGCTGGTTTTTGCTTCGGGCCCAAGTGCTGCGACTACTGGCCCATCTTTCGGCTGACTTAAGTCGTCTTCTGAGCCGAACCTCTCGAACCGCCGGTAGCCCCGGACCTTCGGTACCTGCTCCATATTGGCCAAGGACCAGTCTCACTTAAGTATCCAAACCTCCAGAACTCCAAACAGGGCTGATGCTGTCTCATGTGGTCATGACTCAGATATTCACTTTAGTAATCCTAAATTCATCCAAATCCACATCCAAATTCAGCTTTACACCAGAGTTAATGTTGGTTAATACGTTAGAGCATATTCACTCACTCACTATCATTAACTTTAGTGCTCTTAGCCTGACTCAGAGTCTTTTATTATTCACCTATTATTATTTATCCTCATTATCTTATCATCATTTATTGCTTGTATGTTGTACCATCATTTATCCTGTAATAAACAGATCATCATAGTTCTTGTCTGTTAGTGTTCTTCCAGAAGTGGAGTCCCTGAAATGAGAATTTCGGCTTGAGATATGAGATTGATTAATTTGACTTAGTGTTTGATTTCTGAATGAATTTTTTGTTTTTCTTTATTTTCCTGCCATTAAGGGTGGGTGGTGCCCCTTTAAACGAGTGCATAAATGTCATAAATTAAGATTATTAATCTTAAGTCATTTATTATAAATTCAAATCGCTACACAGAGAAACCAAAACAAATGGCAATGGAAAACAACAAAACAAGATCATGTTAAGGATGTGAAGAAATAAAGAAAGATACACTGATTCAGCAAAAAGGACTTTAGAATCTTTGAATGTCATTGAACGTCATTGATTGTACTGCACAAACTGTCAAGGAAACAGAAAAGATCAAGATAGTTGTGAGATCAGCAGAAAAACACCTGGCTGGCATGGGAAACTGTCGAGGAGATGATGGGGCAGCACAAAGTTCCCAAGCATGGGCTGGTGGGTCTTCATGGTCCTAGTCATTTTACAGTGGAATGCCAGAAGTCTCATTGCAAATGGCCAAGAGTTAAATTGTACATAGCATGTCTACACAAGAAACCACATATAACATGTACACAAAAAACCTGGTTGAAACCAGGATGGGATTTTGTTTTAAATGGATATACTTCAACTAGAAACGATAGAAAGGATGGTAAAGGGGGATGTGTGATGACATCCAACCCAGACACACACAGGTTTGCTATAGAGCAGTGGTTCTCAAGTCTAGTCCTCGAGGTCCACTGTCCTGCATGTTTTGGATGTTTCCCTGCTCCAACACACCTGATTCAAATGATTAGCTCATTATTAAGCCATTACAGAGCCTTATAATGGCTTAATAAAACCTCTAATTAATTTATTACTAATAAAGGATCACTGATAGAGGCATATCAGTACAACAACAACTTTTTTCCTTATCAAGCCATTTTGTGTTTATGTTATCTGAAAGCCTTATTATCATTATTTTGCAAGTATCGTGGTTGATAATTTACAATCAGAGTTTTGAAGCGCAATGGGTCTATAAGAACTGCACTTTTTGTATATCACTGAAATAATTGTCTCTTTCCAATTCTGGGGAAGTTCCTCGGTTTCAAATGCAAACCTATAGGCTTTCTCCAGAACTGGACTTACTTCCTCCACAAAAACCTTATAAAATCTGTTACAAAATCCATCTGAACCTGGACTTTTACTATTTTTCAACTCCCTTAATACTTTCACTATTTCCTCTCTTGTTATAGGACAATCCATAGTTTGCGAAGTCTCGTCAGACAGTATCGGCAATTGTATATTTTCTTAAATAAATATCAAATTGTTTGGAATCTATGCATGTATATGTATTTGAGTACAGCCTTTTGTAAAATTTAGCAAACGCATCTGATATCTCGTCTGGTTTGTAAAGAAAGGAGTCCCCTGGATCACTGTTTTTAATTTTTTGTATGACTGATAATACCAGTAATCTACTAGTTTTACCCCCACATTCATAATAACGTTGTTTTACAAACCTCAAATTTTCTCTCCATCTTTTCTATAAGCAGATTTTCCAGAGCTCTCTTAGCTTTGTTAAGCTGTGTCTTTCACACTCTGCTGTGTTTCTCAGGCTGATTCTCACTCACCTCCCTGCCACACCTCCTCATCAGTGCTGATTCCCCACACCTGTGAATGACAAGCTGCAGCGCCTCACTGCTGATTAGCCAGCCAGTATTTAAGCCACTCTGTGTCCCTCATTCAGTGCCAGATTGTCTTCGCAGCATGCAGGACTCTCCAGCATTATTTCCCGGATTGACTTCTGGGTTTTGACTCCTGCTTGTCTCTGACCACGTCTTCTTGTCTCAGCCCTTGGATCCCCTGTCAAGTTTCTTTGCTCTTGTGAGAACTTCAGGTTTCGCTGTGTTGCTGGCTTCCCAACCTACTGCCTGTCCACGACCATCCTTCCATCTGATCCCTCTGAAATTAATCTGCCCCGCTGATTGTCTGCCAGGATTCGACATTGCCTCCACTTCGGCCACGAGCCCAGCCTGCCCCTCGACAGTGCCGCTGCACTTCTCATAGACTCTCAGGTGTAGTGCATTTTCCGTGAGCACTCACCTGTTGGACCTGTTTCCTGTGGATCTGTTTCTTGTTGGTCTTGGAGATCCTACAGAGACTGCTAAATCAATCCCTGTATATTCTTTCCTGTTACCTTCTGAAATACCTGTCTTCTGTGAACTGTTGCAATAAAAGTAGCTTCTAAACAACTACCTGGCATTGTGCTGCACTTGGGTCCTACATCCACACCTGACAGTGTCAGATCATTAATAGATAACAATTTTTTATGCTTCTGTTCCAGCTGTTTTGTTTTTCCAGTTCTACACGTTTGGTTCTTTACAGTTTTTCTTAGCTGATGCAAATGAAATTATTTTACCCCTCAAGACTACTTTAGCTGCCTCCCATAGGGTCACAGGTGACATCTCATTTGTGTCATTGAATTCTAAGTATTGAGCTCATTCTGTCCTTATATAATCCTTAAAGGTACTGTCACCGCGGAGTGAGACATTTAGTCGCCATTGCCTGGTTTAAAACCTCTTCCTAAATCCCATAACAGGCTAACTGGGGCATGGTCGCTCAGGGTTACGTTATGTAATTTACACCCTAGCACTCTATATGACTCATTTTACCTACAAAAAAGTAATCAATTCTTGTCTATGAGGAATGTGGCTTTGACTAAAATGTGTAGTCTCTCTCCTTTGGGTGCAGGTGTCATCAATAAGCCCCATATCCCTGGTCGTCTGTTTGAGAGCCTGGCTTGCACTCAAAGGTGCATTTGTTGAGGGAGGATTTTTATCTAGTGTATTTGACGAGACAGTTAAAATCTCCAATTAATATAATTCCCTTTGCCCTTTCTATAACGAAATTGCACACTTTTAAAAATAAATTTAGGGATATTTTCATTTGGAGCACAAGTATTCAGCATAGAGACAGCTACTCCACAAATGGACCCATTCACTAGTATAATTCTCCCCTCCTTATCAATAAATTTTGCGTGTAAAGAAAATGTAGGGAGCATTGTAACAGTATGGCTACCCCACATCTCCTACGTGAACTATGGGATGAGTAGTACACATTTCCTGAGTTTTTTATGCTCAGTGTCTGACAGGTGACTTTCCTGTGTAAAGGCTATCATACATTTAAGATGTTTAAGCTCATTAAGATTTTTTTTTTCTCTTGAGGGGGCTATGTAGACCCTTGACATTAAAACTAATTACTCTTATACCATCCATTAATGATTGCATATAATTTGTAGACCCATTTCTCTTTTAGCTTACACCAAAGTTGCGAAGATGAATAACCCTGAAGTGACTCTTTAATCATAACCCATGATATAAAATTAAATTTCAAAACAAACACAAACTTTTTAACTAAATTCAGTGTCCTGACCTCCATAGTTATCCCATAGATGAATGGGATTTCCTTGCCGTAAAGTTAACAAAGCTGTAAAATAAGTTTGAATTTTTTTCTGTAAAGAAAAAAAAAAGGGTTATCCAGGTCATCCACATTAGAGCCTGGGCCCTAACTGCATACTGTTTCCTGCAGTCTAACAGTAAATCTGTGTCACCCACTGCTTTCACAGACCTCCCCTGTGTTTACCTCCCACTCACATCATCAGTGTTACTTTCTCTTTTTTCCCCCCTTCGCTCCACTTGACTTGTTTAGAGGAACAATAGCAGTAAAAAGGTAGGAGCAGAATATTCAGAAATGTATTTGGTGGAGAATGAAACCCTGCAGGTTATTATTTAATTACCTCCGCCAAGGAGGTTATGTTTTCGGTAGCGTTTGTTTGTTTGTTTGTTTGTTTGTTTGTTTGTTTGTTTGTCTGTGAACAACTTTACGGAGAAAGTTACAGACGGATTGACCTGAAATTTTCACCAGAGGTGCGTCTCAGCCCCAGGAGGATCCCATTACATTTTGGTGGTGATCCGGATCGCCTTCTGGATCCAGGAATTTTTTGAAGGATTCTTTATCACTGTAAGATATTTTTGCATTTAACTCTATAAAAATGGCCAGAGTCTTTAGTAAAAAATTACACAAAAGGATCTCAATGAGTTTTATGAGGTGTCAAAAGTTGATCCTGATCCAGACAAAAATCCGGATACTGTGATCCAGAACACACAAAAATAAGGGTGTCATTGGAATTTTCAATACTGAAAGATAACCAATGGGCGGCTCAGTGGTGTGGTGGTTGGCACTGTTGCCTCACAGCAAGAAGGTCCTGGATTCGAATCCAGGTCAGGGCATTTATTGTTTTAGGAACATTATGAACAGTGAACATACCAGTTTAAACACAAATAAAAATTATTAAAGACACATAACAGTAAAAGTTTTGGTGTGAATCACAATATAAGGGGAGACATGAGCTGCTTGGCGGAGGTCTGCGCTCTCAGAGTGCTTTTCTAGTATTATGATAAATTATATTTTTTGAAAAAGTTAAACAGGGTTTGGGAAAATCTCTGTATGCAGATGATGGGTTCCTGTGGTGTAGGGGCTGTAATCCTAAGTACATTCAAAATAAATCACAAGCTGCAGTATGGAAAGTTGAGCAATGGGCAAATAGATGGGGGTTCATATTTTCAAAAACAAAATCACAAGTTATATGTTTTTCTAAGCGGCAAAAAGTACTTTCATTAAAGTTGTTTGGCCAGAAACTAGATTAAGTGAGTGAGGTCAAGTTCCTTGGAGTCATATTTGTTGAAAAGCTGACATGGAAACAACATATTAAAAAAACAAAGACCAAGTGTACAAAGGGGAAGAGGCCATATTTATATGACTCAGGGTAGGGCACACAGGATTAAATTGTATACTCCATATTATAGGCAAACGTCCCACAGGACTATGCTCTCACTGCAATAAACTGGAAACAACACAGCATTGCATTATGAGTCACAGGCAGTACTTACAGGAAAGTCAAAGGTTCAGGGATTCACTCAAGCAACAGAATGTAAGCTTTACATTAAAATGTATACATGAAAAAATCTTCAACAAACATAAAAACAGATACCAAATTTTCTTAAAGGAACAACAAATCTGATGAACAGAATTGAAGATCAACTGCTTAAACCCAGAACCACACTCTAGCTGAGTAGGGGGCGGTAATGCCGGTTTGCCAACAGCCAAAAGAAGAAGAAGAAGAGAAAGAAGAAGAAGAAGAAGAAGACTACCCGACGGGAAAGACACTTTCTTATTGACGCCTCACTCAAGCAGATCTAATTGTATCCCAGGATATAATGCCAGGAGGAATTGACAGAGTGGTAAAGAAATTATATGTATTAAAAATGCTGTGTTTGTTGACTTTGGTTGCGGTAGCATTGCGGTTTCATCATCAGCTAGCCACGGCAGCGTTAACAGTATCTAGCCGGTTTGTGTTAGCAACAGAGATCAGGGGAATGGGGGTGGGGTGGCTGCTTAGGAGTCTCAGCTGTATATTTTGAGCAGGACTTATTTGATATGTTAGCAGTTTAATTGACACGTACGGTGACATATGTGTAAGGGTTGCTGGTTATTTTTTCACTGCGTATATTGTCAGCCGCTGCTGTCTGTTAGTTAGACAGTTTTCCCCCACAGGAGAATTATTAGAGATGTCTTGACTAACATTATACCAGAGTGGGTCAGATTCGATTAGATAAATGTTCGAAAACTATCCCTTCCCGTCAGCAGTTGTGGAATATATTTTGGTCATGAGGGGCATTTCCAGACTTAATTGAAGTAGTGTGTGAGTGACAGAGTTTCAGAACCAGAATCAGATATATTGTCCATGTGAACACATACGACGGAATTGACTCAGATAGACTTTGCTCCCAATGTTTACACATTAGCACGAAATATTACACCAATGTACAAGCTTAAATTTGACATTGAGCTTTAATATACAACACAATTTTGTGCAGTAGTACAATGGTGAGGAGGGCAAAGAAATGTCGAGTAACAGAAAAATACACTCACCGGCCACTTTATTAGGTACACCATGCTAGTAACGGGTTGGACCCCCTTTTGCCTTCAGAACTGCCTCAATTCTTCGTGGCATAGATTCAACAAGGTGCTGGAAGCATTCCTCAGAGAGCTTGGTCCATATTGACATGATGGCATCACACAGTTGCCGCAGATTTGTCGGCTGCACATCCATGATGCGAATCTCCCGTTCCACCACATCCCAAAGATGCTCTATTGGATTGAGATCTGGTGACTGTGGAGGCCATTTGAGTACAGTGAACTCATTGTCATGTTCAAGAAACCAGTCTGAGATGATTCCAGCTTTATGACATGGCGCATTATCCTGCTGAAAGTAGCCATCAGAAGTTGGGTACATTGTGGTCATAAAGGGATGGACATGGTCAGCAACAATACTCAGGTAGGCTGTGGCGTTGCAACGATGCTCAATTGGTACCAAGGGGCCCAAAGAGTGCCAAGAAAATATTCCCCACACCATGACACCACCACCACCAGCCTGAACCTTTGATACAAGGCAGGATGGATCCATGCTTTCATGTTGTTGACGCCAAATTCTGACCCTACCATCCGAATGTCGCAGCAGAAATCGAGACTCATCAGACCAGGCAACGTTTTTCCAATCTTCTATTGTCCAATTTCGATGAGCTTGTGCAAATTGTAGCCTCAGTTTCTGTTCTTAGCTGAAAGGACTGGCACCCGGTGTGGTCTTCTGCTGCTGTAGCCCATCTGCCTCAAAGTTCGACGTACTGTGCGTTCAGAGATGCTCTTCTGCCTACCTTGGTTGTAACGGGTGGTTATTTGAGTCACTGTTGCCTTTCTATCAGCTCGAACCAGTCTGGCCATTCTCCTCTGACCTCTGGCATCAACAAGGCATTTCCGCCCACAGAACTGCCGCTCACTGGATATTTTTTCTTTTTCGGACCATTCTCTGTAAACCCTAGAGATGGTTGTGCGTGAAAATCCCAGTAGATCAGCAGTTTCTGAAATACTCAGACCAGCCCTTCTGGCACCAACAACCATGCCACGTTCAAAGTCACTCAAATCACCTTTCTTCCCCATACTGATGCTCGGTTTGAACTGCAGGAGATTGTCTTGACCATGTCTACATGCCTAAATGCACTAAGTTGCCGCCATGTGATTGGCTGATTAGAAATTAAGTGTTAACGAGCAGTTGGACAGGTGTACCTAATAAAGTGGCCGGTGAGTGTATATACGTCATATAAAATATGGATTGCGTACATTTATGGGTTATGTATGTTTGATGTTTGATTGCTCAGGTCCCTGACACATCTGTATTTGTAAGCACTGGAGACAATTTGTCCCTCAGATGCAGACAGTGAACAAAAACAGCCCAGTGCCCCGGCTGACTCTGCTGACCTTGATCTAGAATACCCCCACAAATTCTAGTTCTGTCTTTGTAAACATGGCACACACAAACACAAACACACACATACATGTTCTGCCACTACTTGTCCCACTATCAAGGCCTGTCTTGTGAATAAGACTTAAGTTTAATGATTTTAGAAATAATGAACAAGTCAATCAATGATTGCAGCTTACAGAGCCAAAGGATCCTGCCAGGAAAAGAAATTCAATCATCAGCACAGGATTCATGCACATACATAAATACATTTAAAAACATTTTCCACTGGGAAGTTTGATAAAGTAAAATACTGTAGGCTAGTGCACTACACCTTGTAAGTGAGGCTTACAATAAGAAAACGGTTATTGATAATTTAGCCTGCTAAACAAAAGGCATTTATTAAAAAAAAAAATCATGGTATGATTTATTTACTTGAATGCCTAAATGATTTATTTTGACATAAGACAGCTTTTCAAAAGATGCTTCAGGCAATGAAAAGTCACCCCTAGGAAGCCACTTTACATGGGGTTCTGACGTTGACGTGACGTTGACGTGACGTTGACGAGCTAACCTAGTTACTGTTCTGATAAAAGCAATTTTTCTCTTAAGTCAAGGTTATGTTTACGCCACGTGACTCTGCGCCAAAGATGGTCGCATTCTGGCTCTCTTCTCCAAACAACCAGATCCTTCAACTCACTCAGGTACTATATGATATCCTGGCAATAATCACGTATACAATTGAAGCCATAGTGAAATTTTGTGACATTATGTGTGTCTTATGACATTGTGTGTCCTGCTTCTAGAGAGGGTACACGGAGAGGGTTGTGGTGGAAAACACTTATCGGCATCACTGTTGGTGTACCTGTGGCTGTGGTTGTCCAGTATGCGGCGTCAGATCCAAGAGCGAAGAGGAGGCTGAGGATTGTGATTGAAGGATTTGGTCGCTTCATCAGGTGTGTCCTTGTTGATAGGTGTAGACTCTCTTACTGTGGCCCAATCCCAAACCGCCCCCCTACACACTCGGCCTTCACTATCGAGTGTCACTTGTAATGACGTTACACTCACAGCTGTGGAGTGCGCCTCAATTGAAATGGGAGGGTGTAAACAAGACGAGCGGGTATGGGACGCCCTCCTCACTCCACCGAAAAACGGAAAGATCCATCACCATAGCAACACAAAGACGCATCCTGTGCAAGGCAGCGTCTATTTTTTTTTTTAAACGGGCATCATGTTCAGTTCTGAGCCGCTCCGGCTGCCTTGTTTCTTCAACCTCCCAGTAAAATCTTAAATCCAGGAACCATCACAGTGACAGGAGCTAAACCAAACTACTGATTGTTAGTGATTCCACAGGTCTATGCAGCCCTTTACTATTTGACATGTGCCTGACCAATCAAAACAAATGTCAGCACAGAATACAACAAAAACAAAAGGTGGACACATACTGAACTTATATTTATTTGTTGTTTCCTCCTCCTCCATTTTTGCCGGTGCACTACCTGCAAATCCTGCCATGAGTGAGCATTGGTGCAGACTCACTATTTGAGGGCTGAACAGTCCACTTGCCTTCCTCACTCTGTGGTTTGGGACGGCCTTCAATATGGCGGAGCCTCAGCAGGGACGCGCAAACGGAGGGAGAGTGTATCGGGCGAGTGTTTAGGGGGCGGTTTGGGATTGGGCCTCTGTGTTGGGGACTAGTTAGGATTGCCTTGTAAAATTCCTTTCATGTAATTTAACAAAGCAATATATGATTATAATTATTATAAGTCATGTAAATCATATATCTGTGTGTTTTTAGATCTCTCTCTGTGGGAATCTTCATCTCTGTGGATTATTGGTGGACCACAAATGTATGCCTTCGTGACCTAGATGAGGTAAGTTTCATCGTGTAATGTAAATAGGGTGTGATTGGTTTTATCAATGACTGCATCTTCCATACTTCTGCAACTTGTCAAGGCTTTAAATAAGCTCTTCATCCCATGAGTGAAGTTAGAGGTGGAAAGTAACCAATTACATACAGTACAGGCCAAAAGTTTGGACACACCTTCTCATTCAGTGTCTTTTCTTTATTTTTTATATGAATATTTACATTGTAGATTATCACTGAAGGCATCAAAACTATGAATGAACACATGTAGAATTTTGTACTTATAAAAAAAGTGTGAAATAACCAAAAACATGTTTTATATTCTAGTTTCTTTAAAATAGCCACCCTTTGCTCTTGATGACAGAAGTACCTTGTCAGGGTTACTTCAGGCACTCCTGTGAAGTAAAAACCATTTCAGGTGACTACCTCATGAAGCTCATTGAGAGAACAGCTTAAGTTTGCAGCGCTATCAAAAAAGCAAAGGGTGGCTACTTGGAGAAATCTAAAATATAAAACATGTTTTCAGTTATTTCACACTTTTTTCTTAAGCACATGATTCCACATGTGTTCATTCATAGTTTTGAGAATCTACAATTTAAATAGTAATGAAAACAAAGAAAATGCATTGAATGAGAAGGTGTGTCCAAACTTTTGGCCTGTACTGTATATATTGCTGTGATTGTATACTTGTACCTTTTTGAGTTTTTTTTTAATTTTTTTACTATTACTGCTACCCATGTATTTTCTGCAGGGAGTATTGTACTTCACTGTATTCAATAAAAGCATGGGTTACTTTGTAAAAAAGCAAACAAGATACAAGTTTCAAGTTTACAAGTTTCAACCATTTTGACTGCGGGGTGATGGACTGATGTCTCCTGCATGACAGTCAAATGAACTAACATATAGCAGAAAAAGAAGCACATGCATTCTCACAGTCAAATCATAATGAAAAGGTTCAGGGTCAATAACTCATTCCCTGAACACCACTTGTACAATGCCACCACTGCCCAACCATAGTAATGTAGACATTAATTAATAGATACCAAAACACATACAGTATATTCGTGGGCCAGGGGTAACAGATGTATTCTTTCCTATGATGCTGTAAGGATGTCATTACTGTAAAGGAAATTGTATCTGACTGCTGTTCTCCACTGCTAGGACAGTCCATCCTACCTGGCTGAGATGTCAGCTTGCCACCAGAGGGCAGCAGAGTGCATGGTGGATGGAGCCATAAGGAATGGAGGAATATACGTTAAACTTGGACAAGGTCTGTGCTCTTTCAACCACCTCTTACCTCCTGAATACATTCATACCCTGCAAATACTTGAGGACAAGGCCTTGAACACCAAATACAAAGAGGTGAGCACTTAAACACAAACAAAGCTTCCGCAGTAGAGGACAACTTAACATTTCTCAGGCTTGTGTTTGTCTTTTCGACAGGTGGATGCTCTCTTTCTAGAAGATTTCAGCAAAACCCCTGAGCAGCTTTTTAAAACATTTGACTATGAACCCATCGCTGCTGCAAGTTTAGCCCAGGTTCATAAGGCTGAACTGCTTGATGGGACTCCTGTTGCTGTGAAGGTGAGCATGTTTCTAAAACCAAGGTTATGAATAAAAATGTGTCCTCTTTGCCTGTATTTTGTTTTTAATTTTTTGTTTTAGATAAACAACCCTCACAGAGGGAGGTTTATATTACTTAGATATAAAAAGTATACCACATCACCTGTTTAATGTCATGTGTCTTCACCAACATTTTGGGAGAAGGTTCATTTTTCTTCACCCTTGTTATGGTAACAATATTGAAAATGGCAATAAAAATGAATCAAAAATTCAAAACTTTACTCTTTTTAGGCAGTTCGGACATTCATGAAGGGGTATAGTCAAAGTTAACCTGCACAATCCCTCAATCCTATCTTTTTGTTGAATTCTACCCTTAAAGGTGCAGTACATTGACCTCAGGGATCGCTTTGATGGTGACATCAGAACACTGGAGATCCTGCTGGATATTGTGAAGTTCATGCACCCTAGCTTTGGATTCCGATGGGTTCTGAAGGTCAGAAGACTGGTGTATGTGCTCAACCTGTTGTACATGTTTAGGTGACAAATGAAGTAGATTTTTATTCTACCTTCTGTAGGATCTGAAAATCACCTTGGCTCAAGAGCTGGACTTTGAAAATGAGGCCAGGAATTCTGAGAGGTGTGCAGAAGAGCTGAAGCACTTCCATTTTGTTGTCGTACCTAAGGTTTTCTGGGATCAAACTAGTAAGGTGAGATTCTGTTGAAAGCACTAAATAATTGGACTCCAAAAATTCCATTTGCTAAAACTTTTATTTATCATTTCCCTCCGGTTCAAAGAGAGTGTTGACAGCAGAGTTTTGTCATGGTTGCAAAATCAACAATGTGGAAGAGATTAAAAGACAAGGATTAAGTTTAAAAGATGTAAGTTAATGCACTTTGCACAACAGAAATTATTCGGAATGGAGTACAATCGTGAAGATGCTGTGTAAAATATCTCTTCAATCTTTTCTTTTTAGACTTCAGACAAACTGATCCGGACATTTGCTGAGCAGATATTCTACACTGGTTTCATTCATGCTGACCCTCATCCTGGGAATGGTTGGTACATTAATGTGTGTGCTTGTGCACAGTATGTACCAAAATAGGATTAAAGCCTAAAACACACGGGATCCGTGTTGAGCGCATTCCGTCAGCGCCGCATCTCTGCTCCATTGGGCAGAGCTCTTCATCGCCCACAGGGATGCATGTTTGGAGCATGGCAGCACAGTAGTGCAGCCCTCGGGCCTATTGCACAAAACTAGGATACGGGATTAAGTTGGAAAATCTTGCTTATTCTGGCTAAATTTATCCATTATCTGGTTGCACAAAAGCAGGATAGGGGAAAGCAGGATATGTTGTGGTTAAAGTTACCAAGGAGATTTATCCTGTGGAGCTAGCCTGCTCCTGACGAGGCCAAGTTCCAGGATTCATTTACTCTCATCCCTTATCTCAGTCAGCAGTCACCACAAATGGAAACCAGTAGTTATTCCACTGTCATTATCTCAATATTTGTGATATAAATTTCAGTAATTTTAGCTGAATGATTATTTTAGATGATTTTGCAATCATAAGATAATTTACAGTTTCCCATAGACTATACGTGCCATAGAAACAGAAATACACATCCACAAGAGTAACATGAAGTTCCTTTATGAATAAGGATAAATCAAAGCGAGAAAACCATCAGCTCCTTTAAGTGAGGTCTCACAGTGACTCTATAAAGATAGAAAGCACAGAATCAAAGCATATTTTACAACATAAGAATAAATACACATTCCTGCAAGCGTGTACGAATAAGAATAACTATTTTTCCCCGAAGGGAAATTCAACTATCTGTAGTCTCATGTGTCAAAAAGTTATCTACTATTTACAGAAGAATTACAAAGTCTGATAGCTGTTGGTACAAAAGACCTTTTGAATCTTTCTGTCCTGCAGCAAAGAGAGAGGAGTCGTCCACCACCATTTGCCCTTTGGTCCATTAAGGTGTTGTGAAGTGATCCATGTTCTTTAGAATAGTCTCCACCTTCCTCAGTGTAGATCTCTCCACCACATCCTCCACTGAGTCCAGCTTGAATCCAACCACAGAGCCAGCCTTTTTCACCAGTTTGTTAAGACGTCTTGCATCTTTGTGTTGGATGTTTTCTCCCCAGCAGACTGTAGTGTAGAACAGAACACTGTAGACACTGCAGACTGATAAAACATCTGCAGCATCTTACTACAGATGTCTATTGATTAGAGTCTTCTCAGGCAAAAGAGGTGGCTCCGCCCCTTTTTGTAGTTATAGTCTATGTTTAGTTTAGTTTAGTTTAGTTTAGTTTATTTGATCATCATCACAGTGTCAAATACAGTTCTTAGACTAATCCATCTTATTATCCAGATGTACACCTAGGTATTTATTTGATGTCACCACTTTGATGTCCACTCCACAGGTGTTCACTGGCTGAAGAGAGGGTTTGGATCTGCAGAAGTCTATGACCATCTCCTTTGTTTTTGAGGTGTTGAGGAGGAGGCAGTTTTTGTGACTCCAGTCACTGAAGGCTCTTATCAGTTCTCTGTATTCAGCTTCTTGTTCATTTCTGATACATGCCACAATAGCGGTGTCTTCTGAGTATTTCTGGATGTGGCAGGACTCAGTGCTGTATTTGAAGTCTGACGTGTACAGTATGAACAGGAATGGCTCCAGCACTGTCCCTTGTGGAGCCCCTGTACTGCTCATTAATGTCCCAGAAATACAGTTCCCAACCTGACAAACTGTGGCCTTCCTGTCAGGTAATCTGTGATCCAGGAAACACAGCAAGGATCCACTCCCATCTCTGTAAGCCAGTGTTATTTTCGTTGCCGATAACATTGCCAAAAATATTTCGTCAACAAAAACAACACTGGTTGTTTTCGTTGACAAAAATATTTCATCAACGCCCCTTTTTTTCCACAACGAAGATGTGACGTTGACGAGCTAAACTTAAGTCTTAGATGACTAAACCTTCGGACAGAGTTAGCAGCTAAAAGTCCTGTTGGGGTCCACATGGATCAGGGATTGGCCATTGGATTGTTCTGTGTTCCTGATCAATCCATAACCAGGAAGTATTTCTCATATACACGAATTGATTAACAGTCAGGGAGTCCGCACATGGTGTTTTATTTTGGAAATTTACCGGATGGCATGTGCGGTTTCTGTGCTTGACATCCTGTCTTGGATGATCTTCTCTGTGGAGATCGACGCGTGTTGGAAGCAGGGAGCTGTGAAAATAGACTCGGTGCGTATCTTTAGCAGAGCAGTGATCAACACGCTTCTGAGACAGAGCTGAGACACTTCCTGTGTAATTTGCAGCATTGATAAGAACTGGTACCTATTTGCTCCGTGACACCTGACGCTGATAGAACGCGCTCAACCTGGATCCTGTGGCCTTTAGGCTTAACCATACTTGTACTAAGCATCGAGGGCATTATGAGATATCATTTGCCTAACATCTTTATGATTGTGGGCTTTTGGTATAAACAGGTTTCCCATGCAGAATGGGCAACAGTAACTTCATTTAAGTAGATCGAAAATTATCTGTTTTTCCACTCAAGTGTCTTTTGAGGTACAGAACTCAAATTTCAGAAAACAACACTGTTTAGAAAAAGTAAGTTTGCTCATTGTTTTCATTGTTGCCAAAATCAAGACTAATTTAGTTTCAAGGAAGATGAGATGATATTTTACACTTCTTCTAGAGTGATATGCAAGTAACATAGCTTTGCAGTTAAACACAAGCCATATAGAGAGGCCATTGTGTTAATCTCAGCGGTCCCGAAGTAAGATCTAAATTAAACTACAAATAACAGAATGATCAGATATTTTAAATATTATACGTTTTTCACAGGAACTTTAAGTGATGTCACATATGGTCTGTGATATTTCCAAAGAATCAAATAGAGAATAAATCAGAGTCTCTGAAGTGCACAGGGAAATTAAAAAAGTGTAAGAAACCTGTGGAAGCACCATACTGCTCAAAAGTACAGCCTAACAGAGATACTTTCAGGGAAGTGAACCTATGATGTTAAAGGAAGGTGTCAATATGATCTTCATAATGTTGATAACTGCAGCGGATTTCCATGGCACTCAAAACTTGAGGTCATAAGAAGGGTTCGAGAGTAATTACACGTAGTTTGCACACTTTTACCATATATTTTTCATATTTGCAGTTCTTGTGAGACCAGGTCCTGATAAGAAGGCAGAGTTGGTGCTCTTGGACCACGGCTTGTATGAATACCTCAGTCAACAGTAAGATTGAGCAGTCTGTTCAACAAAACCTCTGAAAGAACTCTGCAATCAGCTGTAACTGTGACCTTTTCCCTTAGTGACAGAGTTGCCCTTTGTAAACTGTGGAGGTCCATAGTCCTGAGAGATGAGCCTGCAATGCAGAAGTACTCCGATGCACTTGGTGTCAAAGGTAAATGATTTTGGTTGTTGTGTAACAATAAATGCTGAATACCCCCTATCTATCACAAGGTGTTATAAATTACACGTGTAAACTGGATCATATTTCTTTTTCTTGTGTGTCAAGCATAATCTCTATGTCTTATCTTCAGAATATTTACTCTTCTCTGAGATGCTGCTGCAACGACCCATTAACATGCGAGAGCTTGGTCTTTCTAACATCCTCAGTCGTGAGGAGACGGCTTACATGCGTGAAATGGCCACACAGCGCTTTGAAAGCATCATGCAGGTGTTGAAGGCAATGCCACGGCCTATGCTACTCGTCTTCAGAAACATCAACACAGTCCGAAGCATTAATATTACCCTGGGAGCACCTGTGGATCGCTACTTTGTTATGGCCAAGAGGTTAGTTAGTTTTTAAGTTACCTCCTAATGCCTGATCATAGAGAGCTGTTTCTTGCCTGCATGTTGACATTTTTACTTCTGTAACTGTTGACTAGTCACAATTATAAAGTGAGCTGCTCTCATTCAGTGCGGTGCGAGGTTGGGGGAAAATGCAGACAGAGAGGACCAGGATGCTGACAAGACTCTGGATTTTCAGCTGGATCAGGTCAACATGGGAAGGCTTGAAGTTTGAGCTGGCTTTAAGGTAAAAGTTATTGTAAACCTCTCTCTATTAGTTACTCCTCGGCATCCAGTGCTTCATAAAAAGTTATTTGGGTTACTGTCTGTCTTTATTATGTGTTCTCTAAATTTTCCCAAATAAACTCACTTAGCAACGTCTTGTACTTGCTTAACATTTGTACAACTCCTGTACTGAACCTAAAAATATATTGTAGGTAGATATAAACCCAGTTCCATAAGAGTTAGGGTATAAATGCTGTATAAATACTTTATAAAACAGATGTTGATGGGTTGCAAAGAGTGCAAGAAAAATATGGTCTGAAATTTGTGCCGCTAGAAACTGAAATTGAATAGTTGTATTTCATTTGAAAATCACAATTTGAAATTGAAATTAATATTTTGAGAGTAAATTTAATTGATTTAAAATAGAATTTAACCTATTTGAAAATAAAACCCTCTCTTTTCCTTAAATTAGAAAAACAAAAATTCAGTTTCAGGTCGCACATTCAGATTAAGTTTTACAATTTAATTTTGGTTCAGTGTGCCATAGCCATTACGTCATCTACATCCAAGAGGAAGAGTAATCAAGCATACAGAACCCGATTCCATTGAAGTTGGGAAATTGTGATAAACGTACGTAAAATCAGAATACAGTGATTTGCAAATCCTTTTCAACCTATGCTCGATTGGATACACTACGAACACAAGATATTTAATGTTCAAACTCATAAACTTTATTAATTGTTGAGGCTTTGAAGGTGGAATTCTTTCCCATATTTGCTTGATGTACAGCTTCAGTTGGAGGCAGACTGCGTCCATTCTATATACAGTCTATGATTAAAATGCAGACACAAGTTTCCTGAGTTTGTGAAGGTGTAAACCTAACTGATGTAAGCTCTGGTTTTGAAATATTGACAACTCTTTTACAGATGGGAGATGGCAGCGATGAGTCTAACCCGTTGGTTCCTGAGCACGCTGTCATTCCTTGGTTTAACGTCTTTGGATGCAGAAATATTAGAGTATCTGAGATAGTTTACGGTTTTCTTACAAAGGTCAGGGAAGAAAGAACTATTTTAAGCCTGTTAATACAGTCCCACAGCTTTTGACTACTGCAGCAACACAGAGAGCTGCAGATTCTAGTTCTGTTCCAGTGTTGGCGCTCTATACCAAATCATTTTGTTTTCTCGTGGTGGACTTTACTGCATAAGTGAGACAGTTTTGAGCTGCGGGACTTTTACAGCACCAAACCCACCCCAGCAGCTCAAAACTGAACACCTTGTTGTATTTTTTTTTCTTCATTAAATTAATGATTTTATATATTTTGATATTTTAATGGCTGTTTTTTAAAGTGCTATCCTACTACGACTGGTTTTGAATGTTTTTTTTTTTTAATGATTTTAAGCTGAAGTTTCTGTTCAGGGTTCAGGAAAATGTATCGTATACATTTTGTCTGTAGTAGCTGCAGCATCTCCAGCAATACTTTAAACTGAGTCTCAGTGTTTGAGTTATACCAAATAAAATGTAAGAACACTGTAAAGCTGCATCCCTCCTGGGGCTAACAATGAAAATTTTCAGTGTTACATCTCACAGTGGGTTGCCTTTGAACAATGTATTTCAGTGCTTCAAGGAAAAGAAACAAAACTTTTATGGTGGCAATAAATAAATGTCAAAATAAGCATACATTTTTGTTTTAGTTTAGTGTCAGTAATTGGTACAACAGTTAACATTAAGTCCAGCAACAAGAAAAGAAAAGCTAGACTTATCCAATGTTGTTATAGCAATCTCATGATATCAATAAAATGTTTTACATTCTTTTCATAAAACGGCTGTCCTCAATAACACACAAGGCTTTTGTCAATCACTTTCACTGTTTTTTTATTTTGTACAAATTTGTCTGAAGGAAATGTCATTTTTTTGTTTGGTGTATGAACTAAAAAACAAATACAGTTTGCAAAAACATAGCAAAACATCTTTCTCCAGTCCGTATAAAACGACTTCCGGTTGACAGTGCTCGGAAATGTGCCTCTCAGAAATGAGCTGTGACTCTGTCGATCTCCAAAAGGTCATCCAGGATCTACAGATGAATAGAAGATCAGATAAAAGGCAAATCTGACAGAAAAAAAAAAACATTCAGTCTCTGCACTTACTATGTCCTGAGTGGTACCAATCTTTTTAGCCAGCTCACTGCGCTCCATTGTGCTCAGGTACAAGTACTTGTTGAGGAGTTCTCCATCCAGGATGTTTCTCACTGCATTCTGCAAGCTCCGTCTGTCACTATGCAGCATCCTGGAAACGGTATATAAACTGGTTAGGGATACCAAACTGCAGAAACTACACCTGACACTAACTTGCCTCTTAGGACTAGAAATAAAAGCTCACATGATATGTTCATTTAGATAACAGGCAACAATACAGGTTAATACAGTGTGTTCCAATGTATAAACAATACTATGTGGTAGATGGAGGCAAACCTGAAGGCCTTGGGGTTTAGACCAGCGTGATGAGGCAGCATTGAGCTCAGAGCATTCTGCAACATGAGAAGACGGCGATAAGTCTTCTCCTGCATGGGAAGGAGCATGCCGATTCCTCCATCTAGAGTTGCTGTTGAAACAGATTATGAACAGGCTTTTTTTTCCTCCTTTGCATCAATGTGAATTCATCTATTATCTGACAACAGACATCCTTTCCTAAATACATGTTCAATGAATAATAATCTTTTGTATGTTTATAAAAACTTCCTATAAGCTCTTAGTGAAATTGATATGAGTTGTTAGGAAAGGTACTTGTTTAGTTTCTAAACTAGGTCGGGACAGCTCACAATACGAAGTGTCCTAATTTTTAAAGATCTGTGGTTGCAGCGAGCTGTTTTTATCTTCAGTGAGAAGACTGCAGCATGCAGTTTTTGAGCCTGGCTGTGCTAGCAGGTAGTAAAATAGTTAAATCAACTGTTTGGATGAAATATGTTTATGAAGGATCTGGCAGGACATGAATGCACTTTGATGACCCTTTTAATACATAAACTGAAATTCTTTTAGAAAATTTGGGTACCTAAAGGTTCTGAAACTTTCAGGAATTTTCACTTGACACATGGACCTCACAGCAGGGGATAATTCAGGTCAGACACACTCACACAGTTTGATCTACTCCATTTGAATGGATGGCAGGGGAGCAAGTATATGACGCGTGCAAGAGCAACAGGGAGAAAATTCTTCCATAATGGTGACTGCTGGGTTTATATCACCACAGCATGTACAAAATAAGGATGTTTGCAGCCAGACAAACACAGTGGTGTAAATCAACATTCTGGCCACTGAGGAGAGCAGTAAAAAGCAACCAAACTTGGCCAAATGTGTAAGTCACGAGTAGGTCCACCTGCTGTTTAAGCACAAGCTCACCGCAATGCAACAGGGATTGGCCCGGTTATTTTCTGACCGGGAATACAAGCTCCCAATGGGCCGAAGTCCAGACTGTTGTGGGAAGGAATTCACGCAACAGGATGGCCCAGCCAGGCTAGTACATACGTGGAAAGGGATCATGTCGCATTTATCAATTGGTGATCACTGGATTCCATAAATCAGCTCAGTCACTTACCAAACCAGGTGATGTGCTTGTTGTCCCAGGTCAGAGACTTTTTGCTGCCAGAGTCTAGGGCTCCTCTGCAAGGCATCCTCCAGAAAGTGTTGATGTTTGCTCCGACATTGAAGTCTGCCCGTCTCAGGAGACGCATACCTCCAAAGCTCTCTTTAGCTGCAACCACAACACAACACACTCAGTAAGTGGATGTGCATTTGCAGTCCAAAATGTCGGAATCTGCTGATTGAGCAATATTACATACCTTCGGGAAGATACATATAAACATAGAGATTCTTGTCTCGATCTGACACTAAAAAAGGATTAAGAAAAAAAATTAATGACAAGAGGCTATTTTATGCTACATATTTTTTTCCTTAAAAATTACTTGTATTACCTAAGAACCCAAGCTGGTTGTTATCCACCATGAACTCAATGCTGTATACTTCCAGGGGCTTAGCATCCTGTTACAATAAATGATTAAAAAAAAAAAAAAGGTTTAACATCAATAAGATAGTGAATTACATTCTCTACAAGATTTACACAATACGATCCAAAGGCTCACAGGAGACATATTGTCAATACCTTCATGTACATCCTAATAAATAGACATGCAGTCTCTCTTGCTAAAGGTGGGGTAGGCAGGATTTCATGAAAGAAGCATCTTTTTTGTGCTGTATATACAAAAATGCTTTTAATATCAAGCAATAGTTATTAGTTATTGATGACATTTGGTAATATAACAATATCGCTGTTTTGTTATGTCTGTGTAGTCAACATTTTACATTTTTTGAGTGGCCCCCTCTTTTTGACTGTAAACAAAGCCATTCTACGCCTCCCCCAACCTGATTGGTTGTGAGGTGGACGCTGCTCCTTAGTGCTGATTGGTTGTGAGGCAGATGCCCTTCCCCCATGTTGTGAGGCACGCTTCACGTCCAAAACAATGTTTACGAGCCCAAACAAAGTGAGCGTGCTACAAAATCGAAAAGTAGGGGCAACCAGAAAGTACGGAAAATTTTCTGAATCCTCCTTTGGCCAGAACTGTAAATACTGGAGAGTCTGGTGGAATAACAGGCACCTAAAACGGAGGTAGACCGGACAAGAGCTAAAAAGCAGGTCCAACATCAATGAAGCTAGCTCAAATGATGGGGAACGCTTCGGATCTTGCGGATCCTGTAACCTTTCTGCTGGACAGGTAAACTGCTTTAACAAAGTAAGCAAAGTGTCTCCAACATAAGTGTTTCTTGTCAAACGAGACCTGCTGTGTGTTGTAGTGCCCCTAAACTGTTGACCTCAGGTCCTGGACTATGTCACTTTATCCTAGTTGTAGAAGTCCTGCAAACATTGTGTTTGCTGGTAGTCTGTTAGCATCTACAGTAGCACCAATGCTTTTTACTTTCATGTTGACTGGACCCCATTTGTAATCATCTGAAGTATTTATCCACATTATATCTGAATTTGATTTAAACGATACGAGTGAGCAGGAGCGTCTATTTGAGGGCGGGTCTTGCTGGAGCAGAGAGGGAGGGGAGAGGAGGAGCTAAAGGGAAAACTGGATGGGAGGAGTGGTGTTTACATTCGAGATTTCTCCCAAAACTGGCACTTCTTCAGATCATGACTACACTACCTTGAATGTTCCTCAGCACTCAAATACAACATCCAGGGGCCTATTGCCATCATAAAAGGAAACAATAAAATGCCACCAGTAATTGAACTGCTTTTGCTGCTCCTTTACCCTGCTGACGAGTGACAGCGTCTTGCTTTCCTCTTGGTAGCGAAGCAGTGAGATGCTTTTCATCAGATCAGCAGCGAGAATAAAATTCTTGATGCTGAACATTTGGTGAATATAGAGCTGAGTGTCAATGAAGGCCATTCCTGTCAGGTCGTTGTCCTTTAAGACCCACAAGAAAATCTACAGAAACAAGGATAAAGTCAAATTGTTTTTCCACACTTACTGTATATGCAACACTGAATAATTTGCCTTTTCTGCCCACAAGATGTACCCTTTTGTATCATGTATTCAAAAAGAATTATCAAATAAAAAGTATTAAAAGTGACACAGACTTAATATTTCTATTACAGATATGCAATTTCACAATATAGTTTTATAAGTGTGAGTGTCCAGACCTTCTGTCCAATCGCAGACACCAGGTATCCATTGCAATGACACATGGCTGTCACAGGCCCTTTCTGCTCCTTCTCATACAGCACTTTGAACTTGTTCTTGGTAAGGGGCTGGCCAGGCTCTGGCACCACTTCAATCACATCCAAGATCAGAATCTTAAAACAAGCACCAAAAGTAAACCAGAAAGATTTTAGTTCTCATTTCTTAGGGGTAAATGTTTTCCTCTTTTTTACAAAAAGAAATGCGAGGGCCTTGTTGTGTGCTGCTCACTCTGCCCCTGCAGGTGACCTCCTCCCCCTGCATCAGGCAGGTCCCTGCAGCAACATAGCCCTTCAGTCCGGACACAGTCTCCTGACTCCTCAGTGCCACTGTCTTCATACAGGTCACATGCTCCCACTCTTCCAGGTCGATCCTTACAGGAACAAAGAAGGCTCAAAGTAAAGTATTAGCACACTCAAACACCCCTTTGACTGCTGAGTCTACTGCGACTGTGTTTCTTCAGAAAAAAACGTATAGACCACACACTATTCTATCTCATATTGTTTTCACATTGCCATAAACTTTAGGCATTATTTCTTCCTTTTGGCCAGCAGAAGGGCACTGAAAAATAAAGCTTTTTAAATACGTAGAGATAAACAATGTATGATCTCACATTATACTGCACTATCAGGAAGGTGTTTTAGGTTAAAATCCTGTTAAAATGCAAACCAACTAGCTAAGGGTGTTGCTGAGGGGCTCCGCTGAAGGCTGCAGCTGTCTTTGTGATGGTTTTCCTTTTGGGGGAGAAACACACAGCAGCTTGAGTACTTTTATGGAGCATTTCCATATAGATAAAAAGCTGGTAGACTGGAGCAAAGTCAGAGCTTTACTGGATCGGCAAGGTTGGTACACCAGCCTCTCTGCATACCAATGGCATCAATGCCTTCTGAGCTGGTGTTTTCCGCTGTCGATTGTTCCTTAACTGACTAACGACTATGGCGACATGCTTACTTTTCCTGATAACATGTAGGCAAAAAAAAAAAGGTAAGTCAGAAATATTTTTCTGTTCTGTTCTCTTGTTGCAGCAATTCCACAGTTTGAGTCCAGATGACCCTATATGATTGCAGTTCAACATAATAGCAGTGTGTTAAAAAAAAAAAAAGAGAGTCCAAGCTCACTTTTCTGTTGGATTGAGGCATGGGGGTTGGGCTGGCTACTCCATAACATTAATCTTGTTGGTCTGAAATCAAGTTGCTGTTCTGTTTTTGGTGTGTTGGGTCGTTGTTGTCTAGTTTTCCCTTCTCCAATCATCCTTTAATCAAAGCACGCTGTTCTTCTGAACAATGCCTGGCAAAACCTATTTCACTCAAATTTTCAGAAATGCACTGCAGCATTTGCTGCCTTCCTCATTTAATAAGATTTACTTGTTGAACACTGTTTTTGTAACAAAGTGTATGACCTCACTAACTGAACGCCACACTGCTATTATTTTGAACATGCCTCTCTCATTCAGTGCTTCAATTACACAGAATCAGCCATATGCTTGTCACGACTGTTGGGTCAGTCAGTTTTCTATCACTGTATCACACCTACTAGTAAATTATTTGCTTTGTGGAAATTATTTCTCCAAAAAGCAGAAATTGATCTGGTTAATGATGTTAGAGTGCGATTATTTTGAACAAAACTGTATACATCTGTGGTCATCATTGACGGTTTCAATCCTTTTCAACTTAAAAGTAAGTTCTTTTTGGGAACGATGGGTCAGTTTTCTGATAAAATAGATAATGCAAAATATGCTTTCAGGCAGTAAATTTTTAGAGGATTTTCTCATCACTAAAGCCCGAAACCCCCAGGATGGGTGTTTGTCGCGTTCTGTCAGCGTCACTTTCCAGCTCTAACAACACACGCTATGAGCCACTAGAAGTGTGTTTGGAGTGTTGCAGCAATGCAGCGCAATCTGGAACAGCTGGACTCAGTACACAGAAGAGAAAAAAACACACTCAAAACAGGTTGCTTTGCCTTTCATTGGTTGATTTCCTTCTTTTTGGATATTATTCCATGGCTATCATGCTCCTACTGTTTGTAAACAAGCATTGTAAATTTTTACTGTGTTTAGTAAACTACATTTTACTTTGTTGTGCTATACCTGACACAGCTGGCAGCTAAAGGCTTATTGTGGTCCACATGAATTAGAGATAGTCCTTGAGGTCGTGCTGTGTTAGTGATAAATCCATAACCAAGGAGTATTACACTGATTTTACGATCAATACGATCCGATTAAAAGTCAAGAGTCAGCATATGACATTTTATTGTGGAATTTACCAGACGACATCCTGTCTATGACAATTTCTTTTCAGCTTGATGCATGCTGGGCACGTGGGCCGCCGAACATAGACTTGGTGCGTATCTTTACTGGAAAAGCACTTAGAGATAATTCTGGGATGGACCGGAGATGCGCTGCAAAACTTCCTGTGTAACATGCAGCAATGGCTGGAATGGGAACCTAATAGTTGTGCAGTCCACTATGCTGGTGGAATGCGACAGACATGTATCCTGTGGGTTTTGGCTTTACAGAGTTGCCCAAGGTCTGAATTAAAAAAAAAATATGTCCACTTGTACAGAGAAACACTTCAAAATGTGCAGGTAGACATAATGGAGGGTCAGTAATGACTGCACCTATATTTCTACCCTCACTGAAATGAAAGAAAATCATGAAAATACATTGTCTACAATGTGGCCCAAGATTCTCTATCTAACCAACTGATTCTCGAAATATTTTCTCTTATAACAAAAAAAAAAGGAAAAAAACAACAAAATAAACTTTGAGAGAGAGAAACAAGTGAGAAAACAAAATCTAACACAATTTGCAAAGTTATAGTCATTAATAGGCTCATAATGTGTTCTAGGAAAATGGCTTTACCGTGTGTTGGGAATAGCCTCCCAGCTGACTGGAGAGATGAGTTGGATGGAGAATTTCTCTTGCTGAGGATTGATGTAACGTTCATCTGTATGGTTATACAGGTTGAAAAACAGTGTCATAACATATTTGTGTCATAAAACAAATAAATTCCCAAACTGCAATAGTTAACTCACAGGGGTGATTAAAGGTTTGAAATAGCGGTCAGAACCAATTTTAAATAGTTGAAATAGTGTGTGTGTCTCTGTGTGTGCGAGCATGCATGCTACATGTGCATGTTTGACCTCTGTCAATGGTTTCGAACTCCTTCTCCTCTCCGGTCATCCTGGGGATGCGTGTGCAGAGCTCTTTAACACTGGTGCAAACAGCATATACCTGGAAAGGAAAGAAGTCAAAATCAGAAGGCAAAACCTAACATTTCACAGTCGCCCACTTTGATTTTTCACTCCTAGAGTAAGAAGAAACCTGTAAGACCAGAGAGCTTTCATCTCAAACTTTTTTAAAGCTGCCCATTCGATATGCTTTCTTTTTTGCATTGCTTCAAAGAAGAGGTTAGTTGGTCAAGGAAATGAGTTTAACAGCGTGAATTTGTATCATTTTGCTGTCTCAGCCCCTCTGTGGCTGTCTGGACTGATTTAAAAAATCGCTTCACCTTGGATTCAACGTGGTAGGAAACATAGTGGACGGTGCACCTCAGCGGGATTTTGCGGACTGGCCAGGGGGCATCATAGGAGAGATAGGTGGGCAGAACGCTGATTCTCAGCTCACCCTGTGGAAAAAATGCACACAGACACAACTGAAATGTTGGATAAACCAAATTCTAGACAGCTACTGGGAAAGTGAAAAAGTTTTTTTAAGGCAGTTTACTTTGTTTCTGAGGCTATGAAAAATTTTGAATACAGTATTTAGTTATGTAAATTGCAAATCCTTTTTGTTGTCATTTAGGCTCTTATGGTTGAACTTATTTATTTTATCCTTAGACATGTTACTTGGAAACGGCAGACCTGTGTAAGGTGGATAGAAAATTTTATTTGGGTCACCAATACAAAAGACTGAGCAATGCAGATGATGGATCTTTGAATTTAGGACAGTAGTCGTACACAAAAATGCAAGAAAACCCCCAAGATGACTTTTGGTAAAAACAGATCGCAAACAACAGGGGATCACATACCAGCAAAGTGTAGCACTAGCGGTGTATTGCATCTGAAGGTTTCACATGATTGCTACAGCTAGATCACTGACAAGAACTAGGAAAAGAGAGCACATCTTTCAAGTATTAGCGTCTCTACACTGGCTTTCCATAAGATGTAGTTCAGAATTTGAAATCCTGCTTCTGACTTACAAAGTTCTCAACAGTCAGGCACCATCATTCCTTAATGGCACCTTAAAAAAAAACTAATGGCACTTACTCATGTTGTTTTCTTCTGTCTTGTACTTTCTCTCATGTACATCAGTTTGGACAAAAGCATCTGCTGAAGTACATTGTAACACTAACCTCTTTAAGGGTTTACAGAGCCATGTTATCACTGTGTAAAACATTATGTAAAATGCAAATCAAAACTAAATACAACTATTCGCAAATCCTTTCCGACCTGTCTTCAGTTGAACACATTACAGAGACAAGATATTTAATGTTCAAATTGATCCACTTGGTTTTGTTTTCACTCACTTTTCATATTCACTCACTTTGAATTTGATACCTGCAACACCTTTCAAAAGTTGAGACAAGAGCACATTTACCACTGTGTTACATCACCTTTCCTTTAATTACACTCCATTAGCCTTTGGGAACTGAGGACACATTTTCAATGGCAGGTCTTGACTGTAGGCCAGTCAAGTACCCACACTCTTTAAATGTAAAGCTACACTATTGTAACATGCGCAGAATGTGGCTCGGCATTGTCTTGCTGAAATAAGTAGGGACGACCCTGGAAAAGGAGTTGCTTGGATGGCAGTATATATTGCTCCAAAACCTGTATGGACCTTTTAGTATTAATTGTGCCTTTACAGGATTCCCAAGTTTTGCCATGGGCATTAACACCCTCCCCCATACCATCACAGATGCCAGCTTTTCAGCTTTGCACAGATAACAATCTGGATGGTCCCTTTCCTCTCGGGTCAAGAGGACATGACACACACAATTTAACAAAAACAATCTGGGATGTGAACTTGTCAGATACAGGGTTTAAAGCATGGGACGTAAAATTATCAATTCCCCACTCCTCTGGACTCATAAAGGACACAGGACCGCTGCTCTGCACACTGTTCTTCACACTGTTCTTCACGCTTACTTGTAGCCTAACATTGCCGGTGTAGTAGAAGTGGCAGGTAACATAGGAGCTAATCAGCTCTCGAACACAAATGACTTTGGGGGCATGATGAAAGTTAATCTTAGCTTTCTTACGAGCATTGCAACCCGCAAACACACATGCTAACTGCTGTAAATGTTGAGATCTGTCTATTGTCAGTTATTTGATGTCCCTGTAAAAGTGCACATACTTTTCTCATTTCTATCATTTATCATTTATCAGACCACCTAACTGCTCAGCTAATTCCTGCATACAAGCTCCTGCTCATCAGAGGAAAACCTACAGTGAGGCAGGTAAGAGTGCGGTCTGAGGGGGGGAGGCACTTCAGGACTGTTTTGAGCACACTGATTGGGACAGGTTTAAGGTTGACTGACAGTGAAGCAAAATTAAGGACAGGTTTTTATTTAGACTTTAGATAACACAGTGACACTTTAAGTCTGACAAAAACTCCAGCCTTATTTTCTTTGATTGTATTTCCCACACTTCACTGCACTTCAATTTCAAGTGAAAAATACTGAGCTTTTCATGAACCACTAATAATCAGGGAGTTGAAACATGTTCCATGTTACAAGAAATATGTTGTTTTTGTGTTGATTTTAAAAGGGCATAAGTCTAGTGCTGATGGAGCCTATGCTTCATTTTATGTTGATGGTATATAATGTGGTTTGTAAAATAGTAAAGTTAAATTCTTTTGTATGCACTAATTCAAGGGTCAGAGCTGTAAGAGCCATTTTTACTTTTTATTTAGATGGAGATATCCTTTGCCAAATAAATGTAAAGCATGTTGGAACTATGTCTCCTCTCTTGCACTGCCAGAATCTCACCTACCTTTAACCTAAGACTGTCACAATGATGTATCGAATGTCAGACTGCCTCATTCTTCCAGTTTACTGTACAAGACGTAATTGTTTTTTGTAATTATCAATGCATACAGAACTGAACCGAGAACCGTGACCACAAAACCGTGATACGGACCGAACCATGGATGTTGTGAACCGTTCCACCTCTACTGGAAAGAGGTTCTGCAGCATCCGAAGCAAAACAACCAGATTCAGTAACAGCTTTGTGCCCCAAGCCATTAGATGTTTAGATACCTAAAATTTCACTGCAGTTCATACACACTCACTGCTTCTAGACTTACACAGGACTTCTGCCACATATTTATATTGATTTTTATTGCTGCTATTCAATCACAACTCCTGCTGTACATATTTACATATGTGTAATAATATGAATATGTATAATAATTATATATATCCAAATCTATATACACACACCTCTCTTTTTACTACCAACACAGGTATAATTGAAATACTATTGAGAACCTAATAGTATTTTTTTTATATATTTTTATTAAATCCACTGTTTGAGTTGCTGGCACCAGCATTCTACATCATGCAATCACCCGATTATTAAAATAGATTATAACAGCTGAAATAACATCCGCTCCAACTTAAATTTTAAGTTAATTGGAAAAAGTTTTCAGTGTCTCAGGACTTTTCTCACTGAGCACAATTGTGACCATGTCCAATATGGCCTGAAGTATTAGCTCCTCTGCTATTGTATGAGGGTTTTTTTGCACCGCGTGATGTGGTGGCCAACTTTGCATGAGGCAAAAAGTGCTTTTTTTTGTGTACTGATGCTGGGGCTCAAAAAATGACCGTACTGTTTGTTATATTAATCAAGTTTTCAGTTAAAAAGTGGCTGGTGACATAAGGGGGGTAAAAGTTCTCCAGGTAATGTTTTAATTTGTTAGGTTTCATGCTGTCCCCTGCTAGAGTTTTTAGGCATAAAACAAACACTGGTCTTTCCTAATTTCTGACCATATTCATGGTAAACGCAAGGGCTGTGTAGGTTTCGTCGTACTTTCTGGTCTTTTTATTCTGGTAACAGTCATTTGCTTTCCCTGCCCCAGATGCCTCCTCTGTTTTTCTTTTCATTCCTGTTAGAAACTTCTCCATCTTGCCTCCTCTATCAGCTGTGCACACTGTCTGTTCGTGTGGAGCACGCACTGACTGTGTGTACAGTGCACGGCTCAAGACTCAGCAGTTGCACACGAATCGGAATGTAGCTTGCTAATAGCGACGCACTGTTATGACACCATGCATGCTCACAATAGATCAGGGCATTGGAACCAATCGAGTACAGGCTGTAAAGGGCAGCAAATGTCATCAAGATCACGGACATAGTTTTTAAATATCTTGTTTTGGCTGGGATTATTTTACCCCTCTTTCCTGACGTTTTCCCATATTAGTATTCTCCAGTAAATCTCCTGTATTATAATTTTTGTAAAAATAAAAAAAACGTTATTCTGCATCTCCAAACTGAACTCTGTGACTAGCGCTAAGTACCAGCAAACTCATAGTAGCGAGTTGTCATCTCTGATCACACAGACGATGAATTAGCCCCCTCCCCCTTGCTGCACTGATCTGTAAACTGAGGCCTGTGCTAACAAAAATTTCTTTTGTATACATCGGCTGCATACTGAACAACCATAAAAGTCCGTCTTTGCCTAAGGATGTATACTCTTAGTACCTGTTTGTTGAAGTAGAGAAATCCTTTTGGGCAATTGATGTTGTGAAAGGGGGAAAAAGACTCAATGGAGCCATCAATGCTCATGGGATGAAGCCTCAAGGCTCCCCGAGAGGTGACCAGCATCCAGTGAGGAGATGGTCCACAGATGAACACCTATGAAGACAAGGTGGGGTGCTTAGTTATTTACGTGGTTGAGGGGTGTGTAATTATATGCAAAAAATTACACTAAAATAATGAACAGTCAATAACTAAAAGCAAAATTACAGATATAACATGAATTTCAAAGTATGACTGTATTACCCCTGAGTATCCAGAGATGTCCTCAAAGTATCTGAATCTGGCAATACGACTTTTCACAGATGAACTGTCATCAGAAGCATTGCTCTCAGCCTTCTTATCTCTCTTCAGCTTTGATTTCTTTTCTCTGAAGTTAATGTTGTGGGGCACCTGTGTAGGGCAAAGTTAAACAGCAAAGATACACTTCATTTAAACAGGACTTGATTGAGCTCAAAGGATCTTTGGACTGGATGACAGAAACCGGCTGAGTCCTCACTTTTTTGAAGCGCACTTTCAGGTTGTTCTGAGGCTGCTGCTGATCATACGGGAAAGCTTCATAAATGAGGAGCTCGTGTTCCACATGGACCTGAAAAACATCAAAATATAATTTATAATTATCATTTCCAGTTTTCAAACACTGTTAGTTCACTTCACGAAACTTCCAACTCTTGCAACCCATAAAAAAAAGAACTTTACCGAAGATGGCAAAGTAGGTTGCACATTTAAAGATAGTGCTTGTGAAAGAATTCTGAATACTGCTGACCAGTAATCTGAGAGGGAAGAGCATAACCAGAACATGTGTGTTAGTGTTGCCGAAGTAACATGACATCTGCCACAATTCTCATCCACCTTGGGGAAAATTCAGGCCCGCCTACACCTGGAGAGGTGGGTGCAAAACTTTAAACTGAATTACACCTAGCCTAGCACATGAAGTAGTTGTATTAACTCTTTTCAGAGTTTCAGTCCAGGATTCCTCAGGTATTACATCCCCAAGCTCCTCCTCCCATTTCCCTTTGGTTTTATTGACAGAGGTGTCTCAAAGAGATATGTTGGAATAGATTCTCGCAATTAAGTTTTAATAGTAGTGCAAAAGTTGAACTGGTTTATATTTCAGCAAATTCAAATAGGATTGTACATAAAATTGTGCCCCAGCACCCTGTCACATTTCCATTATGGACTTAAAATGGACAGGCACAAACAGATCTGTAAAATCAGAAAGAATTGTCTCTAAATTAGAACTCACCAATAAATATGGTCTGCTTTGACTATTTCCAAGTGAAACCAAAGCCACCTCCTTGACCAATGGAATCTCTCCTTGGCGTGTAACTTCCTCTTTTTTCCCCTCCCCTTGGGTTGCTGATTGGCCAGATGAACTGTCCACCAGCACTCTCTGACCAACTGGGAAATTCTTCACCAGGAACACTAATCTCCAGTCAGGAAGCTGGTAAATCTGTTGAAATGTAAATATGAAACAGTGAAATCAATGAAGTTTTAGAAAAAGCACTCTTTAAATATAGTGCATTCCTGTTGATATATTTTATGTCCCATTACCTCCATTACACCATTCTCCCTAGTGATCATGCACCAGTGGCTAGGTTCCACTTTGTGGGCAATTCCCTCACTTCCAGAGGGAATCGTTCCTCCAGAGCTGCGGCTAAATTCTTCCTTTGCAGGCATCGTGCCGGCATTTGAGTCTCCATACAGCATTTCCTCTTCATCATCCACTGTGTTGCTATGCACATATTTAGATGAAAAAAGACGGTATGTAAACTGGTCATGTGCACAGTTGTGTACTGTGGATTTTTTTTAGATGTATTTTTTTTTACCTGAGGTCCTGAATGATGGTCTCTGCTACAGACTGACTCCTGACAACTGCATCGTCTTTACTCAAAGAGCCGCTCACTTTATTTTCTGTGGTGAACATTCCACTTATGTCTCTGTATGCGCACAATGCTATCACACGAGATTGCTGTGGAATGAGAGGTGGTTTAAAACTAATTAATAACTGTAACACAATTCTGTGAATTACGGCAAAACTAGCATTAAAGGTGGGGTAGGCAGGATCTGAAGAAGTGCCAGTTTTTAGGAGAAATCTTGAATGTAAACTCTACCTCTCCCAACCAGTTTTCCCCTCAGCTCCTCCTCTCCCCTCCCTCTCTGCTCCAGCAAGCCCCGCCCACAAACAGACGCTCCTGCTCGCTCGTATCGTTTCAATTAAATTCAGATATAATGCAGATAAATACTTCAGATAATTACAAATGGGGCCCAGTCAACGTGAAAGTAAAAAGCATCGGTGCTACTGTAGATGCCAACAGACTACCAGCAAACACAATGTTGGCAGGACTTCTACAACTAGCATAAAGTGATATAGTCCAGGTCAACAGTTTAGCGGCGCTACAACACACAGCAGGTCCCATTTGACAAGAAACACTTCTGTTACACTTAGCTTACTTTGTTAAAGCGGTTTACCTGTCCAGCAAAAAGCCTTTATGCTTCATTTATGTTGACCCGGCTTTTTAGCTCTTGTCCGTTCTACCTCCATTTTAAGTGCCCGTTATTCCTCCAGAGTCTCTGGTATTTACTTCTTTTTCTTGCTTGTGTTTGCAGTCGTGGCCAAAGGAGGATTCAGACAATTTTCCGTACTTTCTGGTTTCATTTCTACTGTCCGATACTGTAGCACGCTCACTTTGTTTGGGCTGGTGAACATTATCATTCGAGGACTGGAGCACAACATGGGGTAGCAGCGTCTGCCTCACAACCAATCAGCACTAAGGGGCAACGTCCGCCTCACAACCAATCAGGTTGGGGGAGGCAGAGAATGGCTTTGTTTACAGTCAGAAAGAGCGGGCTGCTCAAAAAATTTAAAATGTTGACTACACAGACATAACAAAACACAGTGATATCATTTTATTACCAAATGTCATCAATAACTAATAACTACTGACTGATGATAAAAGCTTTTTTGTATATACACCACAAAAAAGATGCTTCTTTCATGAAATCCTGCCTACCCCACCTTTAAAACGTATGCTTAATGTGAACGTGAATATTTATGGTGCCTCTTCATCTTTACCACGGCACCCAGATGCAGAAGTGGCACTGCTTAGATAGTAGACCAGAAGGGCTCATTTCAAGTTGTAGGCATGTTTGTTAAAGAGAAAGTATGATAAGCATGGTTTACTTACAGTGGGGATGTGTGGCTTCTGCAGGGCCAGGCGATGTGTCTTTCCCATGTACGAGTCAGTCTTCAGCACAAACATAGTGACCATTCCCTCTGCAGTCATGATGACCACATAAGGGTCTGCCACAGAGCAGTGCACTATAGGAGAGCCCAGGTCCACAGGGATAAAATGGAGTTGTGTCACTGAAAGCAGAATGTCAGAAAAAAAAACAGGTCAGAGTAACAGGTTGGAATTGTGTCCAATACCTCAAATTTAATATAAAAAATAACTTTTTTAATGTAGTCCTAAATCATATCGACCAGTAGATCTGTTTGACTGGACACCACAATATGGCAAGTAATGCCTGAAATGTAATGTATTTGGCCCAGGCATTCAATCACTAAAGCTGCTCGTTTTTCCAACAGCAGGAATAAATCATCTGTCTGAATTTTACTTCCACCTAATAGATATCCACTACTTTGATCAGGATCCTTTTCCCCAAAAGGCAACACTGCACCTGGTACAACTCATCTTAACTTTCGTTTGATGATTCTTGAAGTTTTTGTACCTAAAAGGCTTTTAGGCAACAGGACATGCAAAAAAAATAATTAAAAAATAATTTTAAAAAAAGAAGAAAAAAAAAAGGTCACAGAGTGAGAGTACTGGAATGTTTTTTTGCTACTCTCTGCAGCTTAAATGACTTTTTTTTTTCTAATTTACCTCCTTCTAGCAGCCGAATACCCATGGGTGAGACCTGTATGATGTACTTGTTACTGCCGATGTTTCCAGCAAACACAGTGGGTCCCTGAGTAGCAAAGCCACTAGTGTCCAGCTCCATGATTTCCTGACCTGTTTGGAGGATCTAAAAAAAATACACAAAGTTCTAACTATCAACTGAATGATATGTGAGATATGTCTTTGAATGTTAGATATGCTCTGATATGAAATGGAGTTTTACCATGGTTGAATCTTCTCGGCTCAGAATAAGAAAGCCGTGCTTCTTTGTATCATCCTCAAAGGAAGCCTCTGTCTTCTCCAGCTCTTCTTCCTTTTCTTCTTTGTCTTTTTCTCCCTCTTCTTGTTCCTCACATGTCTCTGTTTCTGCCCCATCTTCTGAATCAGTGCTTTTTACAGACTGAACAATACAAAAAAACTTACAATAAATGGTGTTTTAGTTACTAACAACAATGCAGAAAAAATAAACTTCAATGACATGACCTTCAATTATTAAGCAGTCATAAAGTATACTTTTTTGTCTTCTTTTACTTCACTTGAGATGACTGTCCACATGTCATGGCAACCTGGCAACTCAAATGTAGTGACAACTTGAGGTCGGATGCTTCTCTGAGAATAGAATGAAAATCAATCAAAGTAAGTCAAAGGCATAAACCGCATACGGTTTCCTGGATTTCCACACTTGTGATTGTCTGTGTGTGTGTTTTTCATACATGTATATATATACATATACACACATATATATATATATATATACACTTATGGTTATTGATACACACACACACATATATATGCAGATTGTATCTGGAGCGTTTACAGGCTACTCCATCAACTTCTGAGGCAGCCGTGGTAGACCCAGACTTTACTATGGCACCATGACTGGACCTGTGGCAGACGGCCCTCACGACCACAAGTTTTTGAAAGGTGCAGTAAGATTAATCATGTGTGTTACTGACCATGCAGAAGTCCAAGGAGTCAAGTGAGAAAACATTCTACTTATCTTTTTTCTACTTCTGATTTTAATTGTTTTCCTCCCATTATGACTTAAACAAAGGTTGGAAAAAGACTGAAAAAGTGTAGTTAGCAAAAGTTTTTTTAATGAATTACTTCTAAAGTAATAAAGACCAAAGATTTTTAATCAAATTTGGACTGAATTTTTCTTTCAATTGCTGGCCTGGGCTTCTGTTAACCAGGAACACAAACATTAAAACAACACATAACAGTAGTGAGGGGATTTACCTGCAGCACAGACAGTGCACCGTTCTTGCCAAAGCCAGAACACACAACTACCTCCAGGTCAGGTTCAGGGTTGCTCTGGAACTGTGGGTTAACAGAAAACAAAGTCAGAAAACTCAAAATCTTTCACAAAAAGTGTGTGAAAATTTCTTCCACAGGAAAAAGTCTACACTACAAAGAGTATGTGTGTACCTCTTCAGACAAGAAGGCAGGTTCACCCATGGATGCATTTGCACAAGGTCCGATGTTCAGAATGCTATCACACACCTGTATCAGAAACAGAAAACAACTCTCAGTCAACTTCTACAAAAACTGTAAAAAGCTAGTGGGCTTTTGGGATTATTTTTGTACCTCAAAGGAGTAGGTGGCTAGCTGAGTGCCTGACTGGGCCTCACTTCCATAGACTTCTATCTCATCAACTTCATCTGAAAAAAAAATGAGTGAAACATGACTTGGCAGATATTACAGTCGTTTTTGGTAGATAAAAATGTTATTCATAAGAGTACCTGTCCAGTTGGTGGATGATTCCATGCGTTTCTTTTTGCTTGGTGGTTCTTCCTAGAATTATTATAACAGAGTCAACTGTGATGTAACTTAGAGTATTTTGGAGACGCGGAGTCAAATTAAACAAGAATCATCCAAATGGCTGTTAGCAGTTTGCATTGAAAGATCCAGAACATTTCAATCAACCAACTGTTACAAATACTCAATCACACAAAAAGTCCATATCTTGATAGCACTTCCCAACAAGACATTAAAATAAAAACTAATTTTTACAAAGTTCCATTTCCACCTGTTTATCTTTATCCTTTTCTTTGTCTTTTTCCATCTTCTCTTTGCCTTCATCCAGTGGCGTCTCCTGAAGTTTCTCTGTGTACTTCAAAAGCAGTGAATTTCCTAGACGTGAACCTAGGAAAAGGTAACCAGGATCCATGGTCACCATCTGGGGGGAAAAAGCCCAAAGATCGAGGGATTTTATTTTTTTACTGTTATAAATTTTTTTTAATGTTTTAAAGATTGGGGCATCGAATTTGGTGACAGTTCTTATTTTTCTTCATATTAAAAAAATATATATATACTTTCGCCTGAAGAACTGTTGCGCATTTTAGCTCCATCCATCCTACTTTGTCTGCAAAACGGACAATAGACTTCCATTTATAAACACTTTCTTTGACCGTGGGTTTATGGCACCATAACAACATATTGCAACCTTTTTTTTCCTGTCACTAGATCACCAGGGCTCTAAAATTTTTAAAATTTTTTTGCTGTGCACAAAGGCCTTAATTCATTGAATCAGCATGTTTGAATGGCTATTTCATCTACTGAACATCATCCGAATTGAATGAAACTTTATGTGCCACTAGATATGGATGTCTAAGAGTGGGCTACATGTGTAAGGAAAAGTTTGCATGCATCTGCGTGTATGCACCGGTGCAAATCTGCGTCCATGTTCGTAACCGGGCATGCCTTGAGCGGAGTTTTTATGGTCGAAAATGCAACCTCCAAGTTCTGTAGTGTGAGAGAAAGAGAGTTTCAACTTTGCCCTCACTTCAGAGCAAGTGGATGGACATGCATGAGGATGCACAGGTCCTTCAGATCATTAGGTGAGAATATATCACATCTCAAATATGCAAAAATTTTTTACATGCTCGTAATTAGCGTGATCACGGTCATATTTTAGTTAGAGGTGGATAAGCGCTATAAAATTAATTTAATATGAACAAATGATTTGGTAGAGGACGCGGCTCAAGAAAAGAGGATAAAACTGGCTTGTTTTTCTGCTTCAACAGACACACCTGTTTAGAACGCACACCTTTCTCAATGAATCAAACGTTTATGATATGGTGCACAATAACTGGTATAAAAAGTGTGATACATCAAATTTTTTATTCATTACTTTTTTAATGGTTAGGGCTGAAGTTGTTTAAGAGATTTATGTCAAAAAAGTTCAAAAACTAATATTTTATGAACACTTATCTCCATGTCCGTTTTACAAAGTAGGCTGGATGGGGCTTAAAATATGGAAATTGGCATAACAAAAATAATTTAAATGCACCAAAATTGATTTTACTTATCATTGACATAACCCAGACTCTATTTATATATATATATATTTTCCATCTAGGTAATTTTATATGGGAAATATGGGGATCTAGTATTTCTTACCATTAAAAAAAAAACAGTATTTAGCATGAAAACAATAACTAGCATAAAAAGGGTGAGTTTTTTTATTCATGGTCAGGACCGAGGTCGTTTAAGAGATATGAGTCGAAAAAGGTAAAAAATAAATAAATAAATAAATAAATAAATAAAAAAATAATAATAATAAAACGGTAAAAAAAAAGATTCTTTTATGAACACTTATTTGCATGTCCATTTTGGGGACAAGGTAGGGTGGATGGAGCTTAAAATTAACAGGAACCAAGTGTTGAGGTGGAAGCTGGGCTGTATTACTAGAATTCTGTTATCAAATTTTGCAACAATCCCATTTAGACAACTATTCAAGTGTTTCACGTTCCACATAACCATCACTTTGGATTATGTTCTGTGTGATGGCGAGTTCAATAACTACAAAGATAACTATACATTTAATATACAGTGCTTTTTCCTTTACTCTTTGGAATAAAAAGCCCTACTTTGACAAAAGTTTAATCATTCAACCAAACTTGTACATACTACTGGCAACAGGGCAACTGCTAATGTTTTTCCCCTTTTCTCTGGTAGTTAGCTGCCAAATTTCTACCTTGTTTTTCCAACTTTCATATGACTTTTTCATATTAAACAATTGTACGTTTTTGTAATTGCCAGTAGCCCTCATTTGCCATCTACAGTGCATCCGGAGAGTATTCACAACACCACACTTTTCAAATTTTCTTGTATTACAGCCTTATTCCAAAATGGATGAAATTCATTTTTACCTCAAAATTTGATACTATTACCCTTAATGACAAAGTGAAAAAAGTTCTAAACTTTATTAAAAATAAAAACAAAAGTATAACATGAATATGAGTATTCACAGCGTTTGCTATGACACTCAAAACTGAGCTTAAGTGCATCCTGTTTCCACTCATCATGCTTTAGATGTTTCCACAACTTGACTGGAGTCTACCTGTGGTAAATTCAGTTGATTGGACGTGATTTGAAAAGGCACGCACCTGTCTATATAAGGTCCGAACCAAAAGGCACCTGAAGGACTCTCAGACACAGGAAACAAAATTCTCTGGTCTGATGAAACTAAAATTGAACTATTTGGCCTGGATGCCAAGCGTCATGTCCGGAGGAAACCACGCACCGCTCATCACCTTTCCAATACCATCCCTACATTGAAGCATGGTGGTGGCAGCATCATGGTGTGCAGATGTTTTTCAGCAGTAGCAACAGGGAGATAAGTCAGGGTGGTGGGAAAGCTAAATGCAGCAAAGTACAGAGATATCCTTGATGATAATCTACTCCAGAGTGCTCTGGACCTGGACTGGGTTAAGATTCATCTTTCAACAGGACAATCACACAGCCAAAATAACACAGCAGTGGCTTTAGGACTAACTCTGTGGATGTCTTTGAGTGGCCCAACCAGAGTCCAGACTTGAACCGAAATTGAACATCTCTGGAGAGATCTGAAAATGGCTGTTCACCAATGCACCCATCCAACTTGTTGAAGCTTGAGAGGTTCTGCAAAGAAGAATGGGAAAACCTGCCCAAAGTAGGTGTGCTGAGCTTGTAGCATCATACTCAAAAAGACTTGAGGCTGTTTTTGCTGCCAAAAGTGCATCTACAAAGTACTGAGCAAATGCTGTGAATACTTAGGTCCATGTTATATTTTGTTTTTTATTTTTAGTAAAGTTCCAAACAAACTTTCCCCCTTTGTCATTATCGGTAATTGTGTGTCGAATTTTGAAGTGAAATATGAATTTAATCCATTTTGTGGAATAAGGCTGTAACATAAAAAATGTGAAAAAGGTGTGGTGCTGTGAATATTCTCTGACAGCGCTGTATGTTGGTTCAATAACGAAAAAGCTGAGGAGCATCTTTACTAGAACTTTCACAGATAACTAGACTAACACTTTGAATAAAATGAAAGACTCTTCACTGTATAGTGCATTCGGTGTTATTCCAGATTTAATTAAGAGATTTGTTGATTTTTGAAGAGGGGGAGTGTATTTTAAATTGGCCCCAGATATAATTTTGTTAAATGAAGTATTTTTTTACCCCAAACAAGTAAAACACATAAGGCTGCTGCATTTTATCCTACAGCCCCCTTCAGACCTCCTATATCTACTCAAAAAGTGTGTTTTTGCAACCCTGCTTTCTCTTGGGTTGTACTAGTTTTTATTTTGGTGGCAATTGGTTTACAGAGAAAGGGACATCAAGAACTGATCTAAAATTTCCAGCTAATCTGCATACTCAGATATTTGACATACATATTACCCTGTGTCTCTCATCCCAAGAATTGAATCATCTTTTAAGGAGCAGTCCTAGAATTCAAATTCAAAGATTCTTTCCATTAAGTTTTATTTTCCTTTTTCATATATTGATCATTTGTATTCCATTGAGCTGATTTAAACCCAGATGTTTTCACTTCTGGTATTAACTTTTAAAACCTTCGAGTCAAAACTTAATCACTCCAGGCCTTTGTGTTTATCAACTATTAACAGAAACACAAAGAAAATAAGTGCTAAAGAAAGAAACTTCATTCCTTTCTCATCATATTGATGTATTCCACACTTCCAGGCAGAACTTACACAAGTTGTCAGGACACTGGCAGCTGCTTTGTCAAAATGGAAAGCCCGGACACTCCTCATGCCATCAGTGATAAGGGTTAACACATAACTGTAGGGCAACAAGAGTTAGTGAAGACTGATGAATAACTGCTATTTTTTTTTTACAATCAGTTCTTCTTATGATTGCAGTGACTCACATTTCTCCTCCTTTCAAAGAGATAACCATCTTGTCATAGGCAATGAAGTCAGACTGGGCACAGTCCAGTGTGATCTTCACTTCCTCCTGTACACCTAGTGAACCAGAAGTAGAATCTCGTGAAGGGGGGATCATGAAATACATAAAAGTCCATTTCAAGAACACAAGTATGGGAATGCATTCATAGAACTATTATACATACGCAGAGGGAATGCTGTGGTGCCAACTGTCATGGAATTAAGAGACACTCCGTATGGTGGAACACTCTGGTTGAGATACAGCAGTGAATTCATGGCAAATACCACAACACCACCTGAAAGATTTAATGCAACTTAACATCTGCAACAGAAATTACTTTGAGCTGGTAACCTTGCAATCACATTGCTTTTGAGTTGTGCCAAAAAAAGACGATTCGATGAGCTCACCAATCGGCTTTGGAACAGCCATGACTTGCGTACAGTCAAAAGGCAGATTACTGAGAGACCAGATAACAGGATGAACCTTCTGCATGATATTGAGAGAGATGGCAACTATACTGCACGTGTCCTGGCGCACAGCCACACGCCTGCAAGTGGAATCCAAAAACAGGTATTTGAGTGTAGTCATAAAGTCATGTCCATACAAAGCAAACAATTCCATGACTTTTAGTATAAACTTTGTTTTATTTGCTGTTCTTTTAAAAACAAAAGTTGTTGATATGGCTGATAATTTGTGAACTTACCCTGGCCATGTCTGGTTGGGCTCAAACAGAATGAGCAATGTCGGCTCGTAGTAGCCATGAAGGAACTTCATGTCAATTATGTTGAGCAACTTTTCATCCAGCTCACGGACATCAATAATGTAACTGGGCAGGAAGCTGGATTTCGGTCTGTAGATAAGAAGACACTGAATGATCCTTTCCAACTAGTTCCTGAGGTCACTACTATATTTATGATTATAGGTGAAACTGCCACTAATTCAAGAGAAACAAAACTAAGTTGGTTATTTGTAGTGCCCAATCTTATTAACTGAGCATCAACAAAAGTTGTTTCGAGTCTAAAATACTTCAAATTGCATTGTTTTTAATGTATGCTGGGTTTTTATTGAGTGTTACATGGTTGTATCTGAAAATGTCTTTGGGCAGTTCTAGTATGTTTTGCACTGTCCAAGGTTGTACTAACAACCAGACAAGTTGAATTATGCCTTCATGAGCAGTGCTTTGAGCATGTACCCAAAACAAAGAGAGAGTGTTTCTGTGACCCTCAGTACGTTTTCCATCGTCTGCCTTCCAACAACCAAGAAAAAGACTGTTGCTGAAAAACGTCAACCTGAAGAAACCACTAAAAAATGTGCATATCTGTTGATTTCATTTCATTTATAAAACGAAAACATGTCAGATGATGTTCCCACATAATTCAGGCATGACTTCACAAGGATTATCTATTTTTAAACAATGCAGTACGTCCAGAAAATTACATGGAAGCATCATTTCTAAATTACTCCAATTATAGTCTCATCCAAAAGTTTTGCATCTATGAAAACAGACATATACACTGATATGGAAATCTTTGTGATAGGCACATAGGCAGATATTTTCATTGACTTAAGCTATTACAACATCACACCCTGGCAATTGACAACTTACTGACAACACCACAATTAGGTTACTAGTGCATCTGATTGAGGAATTAACGTGGAAGCATTTTCTAGTATGACAAATACATTATGTAAATGATTAAGCTGAATTGTGTAGTGAACTGAAAACATACCCTTCTCCTACCCCTCCCTCCTGTTCATCAGTTAAGGTGTCTTTCCTGAACGGCAACACCACAAGCTTCGTGCCATAAACGAGCATTACAGCACAGCGGTTTTCTGGATCAACGCGCACAAGTGGAATGTGTACATTCTGTACAAAGCCATCCTAAAAGTCAAACAACAAGCAGTGAACAATTACTTGAAAATATTTACTCCAGTTTGGATAGAAAAGCTGCTACCACATATACGTTATACACACACACACACACACTTTTATATATATATATATATAAAAATATACAAATATACACACTCTGAGCTCTGGCTCTTCAAAGTAATGAAGAGACAGCGTCTTGAGGTCATGTGTCCCTGGGTCATATTCGACAACAGATAACTATCAGAAGCACAAAAAAAAAAATTCCAGATTTCAATCAACAGCTCACAAGTTTGGCAGTAAGAAAATAGTCAGTTAGTGCACAGCTTAGACTGAGACCTTGGCATCTTTGAAACTGAGAAGGAGAGCATCTGTGCTGGCTCCTACAAGCTGCACACTGGCCATGGACATCACATTGCCAAAGAGAGAAAAGCAGGCCACTTGCTCCAGCTTCTCCTTGCGTGATTTAGAATCTACAAGAAGGTTTGAGGTTTGTCAATGAATCCAATCATATATGTAACAATGATTCAACTGTAGCATAGGAATAAATTCTGCATATTCAGTATGTAACTTATCAACATAAATATTGAACATACCTGATGACTTGTCGGCTTTTGATGTACTCTGAAACAATAACAGGAATGTCAAACAAGCTTCTGATATAGGTGGCTCAAAACATGTCACTATGAATTAGTCAGTGGGGCAGTTTGTAGTCACCTCCACATCATGGATAATCCGATAGACAAACAGTTGAGATGTTCCGGCAACAACCAAATTCTTCTCCTTGCTTGATATGAAGTTGCAATAAGCAGAAAACTCCACAGCAGTAGGTGTGTGCGCTTGTCTGTACACAGCATACATCCTGGAAGAAGACCCTCAGCATCTGACAGGTAAAACATTTTTTTACAAGATCTCTTGACATCATTCTGATGAGCATCAACATAAAAAAAGTATTAGTAAACTGAACGGGCTTGATGTAACTTACAAGCAGTGTGGAATATGACTGATTTGGTAATTTCTTGCTAAGTCTTACATGGTGTAACATTAATTCCCCATTTATGCCTAGATGTCATCTGCTTTTAAGGATCATGTTCAACATTATATACACTGCAGTGTAATATTACAATATTTCTAAATTTCTAAAACACTAAACCCTGAACTAAAGGCTCAATGGCCTGAACCCTTTCATTGAATCAGTCACTCTTTTGGCAAAACCATAACCACCATTCACCTGGTTGGACACAACTTGCAAACATATTGTCACTCACTAAAACACGTTTTGCACGGTGATGCACTTCTGTCGCATAGTGGTAAGCACAGGCAGCAAAAGTTAAACACATTTAAAGCACAGGTGTCACGACTTAGACACAACAACTCAAAACTGATCCCTCACTTGTGGCGAATGATGTGAGGAAACCAATACAGGTCAGTTCAGAGGGGTTTTGTCCCCCGTTACCTGGCCAGGGAGAATGTGGCCTAACATAATGACATGATGCTGTGGCTGAATGACTGTACATACTGTATGCACTTGAGTTTAATATTGTGGTTTAGACTGTAATGTGCTTCTCATTTACAGTATTTCTCAATTGCTAAAACACACTTTCTGACATCCACCGTTAAGGGTTGATCAATAATTGGCACGGCCGATAATAATGGCTAATTGCAAAAGTCCTGGATTTATTAATTGTAGTTTGAATTTTTTTATTTGTGTTTAAGGACTTGAGAAAACTGGTGGAAATTTCAAGAAATGTGTTTTAGCAATTGTGGAAAAACTAGTTAGAATGCTAATAAGCGAAGCTAACCAGCCTTAGGCAACTATGTTTACCACCGAAGTCAGATGATACTGATTATGCTATTACCAATGTGAGTAGCCACCATCCAGATGTATAAGCAGGCAGCGGGTATCGTTAGCTGTTAGCGACGTGCTAGCATGTTAAATGTGATGGCACAGCGCCTTCAACTGTGCTGTTTCTTAAGGTTCTTATGAATCAGACTTATCAACCTACCTACATCAAACACGTCGTCGGGGGCTGTAGCTGTACTGGTTCTTCTTCCTTGTACCTCTAATTTGACAAAATGTGCTGCCCCAACTTCGACTAGCTTGTCGTTTGCTCAGTAAGCTAATAATTCATTGTGGCCGCTCTTCTTCTTTCGTTTAACGGCGGATCGCAAACAACGTTATGGTGCATACCGCCACCCTATGTTCAAGAGTGTGTTGCGTCAGTATCGCGGCCATGACATTACCAGCCGTTTTACCATAGATATATAGAAAGACTAGATGGATGATGGGACTTTTGCCCGCGTCGTCACCGAGCGGCCATCTTACCTAGGTGGACTCTTCCCACGCACTCAACAGTAGTAGATGGAAGGTGAGCGACCTACACAAACAAAAATACACTAAACTCGCTGAAATCTTGACGGATTTAAAAACGTTTGGGTTTATTAAAAACCTTATTAACGTGGCCATGATTCAAGCCGCGTGGACATGTTGAAAGTGCAGCTTTTCTTTTCGAAAATCGATTTCATTTTGTTGCATAGATGTGTGTCTGTCTGCAATCTGGGAGTTTCAGTTATTATATACGTTTCCGTGAGACCAATAAGAAATTGTGACAACCACATATTTTGACTAAATGACGATTTGTGTGAATATAGATGTGTTTATTAGCTAGCAAAGAAACAAGAGGTTGTGAATGTGACAAAGTGGTCCACTGGGACTATTACAAAGTAGCCTTGACATAATTCTTTACAGTTGGGAAAGGCATAATTACTCCTCTATTTTAACATACATAATATGATTTCCAAGCTGTTTCATTAGTGAAATATATTCTTAATTTATATTCATTGTGATACAGTAAATGCCCGGCTTTGTGTTTACAGAAATACCCCCTACAGTCCAAGATGCCAGACTTTTGTGCAGCTCATGGATGCTCAAATGAACGTTCTGTCCAAACAAGAGCCCGTGGAATCACCTTTCACTCGTAAGAAATGACTTGAGGGACATATTTAGGATAATTGTTACTAACTTAGTTAGATTTGTACTTGTACAATACAATTTATTTTCCCCCTGACGTTTTAGAAATGTTTCTACCATTTGTTTACATAATAATCATTGAATATTTCTTTTTCACATTTTTTTGACATGTTACTGTTATTGACTTGTTATTCAAGTTTACATAATGGCATTCAAGCATAGGCTATATGAATTACTCCAACAATATCATAATTTAGCTCTATTTGTGTCCCTGTTTTTCAAATTAAGGCTGCACCACATTGCTAAAATGACTATGCGTAGCGTACAGAAAGACAATGTGAGACAGAAGCTCACCAAAACAGTCCTTTTCAAGGGGCAGTAGCTCAAACTGTCCGTGGACTTGTATATATGTTGGTTTTGTTGTGACCGTGTGAGTGACTGTTGATTTGGAGTGAATGTTGCATGGTTTAGTGTGACTGTTGGTTTGGAGTGAATGTCGAATTGTTTTGTAATTGTTCACATCTGTTTAATAAAAGAACCTTTATGTCATGTTACTGAATGTGTTTATTTTAATTTTTATATTAAAATATATGTAGCAAAACGGGTAAGATGAACGAACCATCCTCTTGATCTTTAAAACTATACACGAGTTGTTATGTGACCCTAAAATAAGAACACAAACATCATTTCCAACAGGCTGTGGAAATTTTTGCATTTGTGGTTTATTTTCATGTTAAAGCAGATAGACCCAGGTCTAAACTTATACATCATGCATGTTAGTGATATTCAATGTATAGAACTATGTGAGTCATTCAGCAAAATATCATTCTGAAGCATTAAATTAATTAGGTTTTATCAAAACGATGGCCATGGGGCTAGATGAACCAAAAGCCTTAGGGTAAATTGAACCAATATGAATCACAATTTATCTAATTTTTATCAGGTCTTTGCCACTCAAATTAGCAGAATGATCTTTTATTTTTGATAAATACACTCATTCAAGAGAAGTTTTCAATATTATATTAATAATTGCAAATATTAAAAGGTTCTGAAAAACAAACTTTAATTGGTTTTATATTGTTTAATAACCCAAAGAAAATAATTAAGACTATTTGAAAAAGGGAAATGTCTTATAAAATTATTTTTCATCAGTAAATACATAATTTGTTAAAGTTTTAAGTATAAGTTTAAAATATCATGTGGGTCAACATACCCCTTTATATTTAATATATGTATTAAATAGAACTATAAAATATCTTACTATTAAATGCTTCATATATAAAACACTGACAATTCAATTTCACTGTGTGTGTATGTGTGCAGCTATGGCAGGTATTGCTCTACTATCTCCTTTTTTGCTCGTCGGAGCTCGACTCCCTCTGGATCTCAAATGTTGATCATCAGTTGGATTGTTTCTTCAGAAACCACAAAAACTCTCTGAATGACCCACTGATGCATCCACTGATAACCCTGCAGTTGACCAGCTTCAGTCATTTCCCCCTCCACAAAAGCAGCTTTATGACTTTATTTACTTTATGACTTTATTTACTTCATGACTTTGTCCTAAGTTTACAACTTCAATCTCTAAGTCTTAAAAAAAAAAAAAAAACTCAATGTGTCAATTATCAGTAGGCAGTATCTATGTGGCGGATACGCTGACGTATCGCAGCAATGGGCCAACACGCACAACCATAGACATTATACACGTAGACGCCTCGTTACGTGCTGGAGCATAATCCAGCGTCACCGCCATATTGGATGGGTCTCCACACTCCGGGTTCGCTCAGGAGCCAAACGGGGTCAATGGAGAACGAGCAACTATGCCCGTTTTTTGCACTCTATGTGTAAAAGATTATGATGTTGCTGATGCTTGCTCATTGAACATCCTATATTGAGTGCACATTAAAACACAGGATCCAGGATTCAGTTTGACGGTTTATTTTGCTCGTCTTCAGTGGATGATTTTTTCTGTACAATCAAAAGGAATATAAACAAGATGTATCAACATAAAATATTACAAAAAAGGGGGGACTGATAAAGTCAAATGAATTATAAATTGGTTAACTAATCTTACATCATAGATGCATCCACTTCAGGGCTTAAATCAATACATATGCGTTTTAGGGCAACAGGAATCTAAAGAAATAATATTTGAGGATAAACCATATTAGAAACAATACAAATAAGGAGAATACAACAACATTTGTTAAGGCTTTGTCCGTTTCACACTCACAGTCAGATTCTCTTTGTTCAGTGCTGCTCTTGTTCAGGATGCAAAAGGGAGAGCAGGCCTGAGGGCTGGCTTTTATGGTGTTGGGGGTGTGGTTTGGCCTTGAGTGACAGGGGAGTCAGGTATGGAGATGGTGAGGTGAAAATTTGGGATTTAACAGCCGCCCCTTCAAATAGTATATTTGAATCAATAAATCACAAATCAATTCTGGGTGTCGGCTTTAAAAGGTGAAAGGATAACTAGTCGGGCAACAGGGCGGATGAACTTTCGTTGGTTAGATGTCACTTCCACAGTCCTAATCCTTCCGTCATCACTGGGGAAGAGACGAGACACCTTCCCAACATGCCACTGTCCTCTTGGTACTTGGGGATCCATTAAGAGTACCACTGTTCCCTCTGTCAGGCCTGGTGTGTCTTTCTGCCATTTATTTCGAACCTGCAAGCTTGGAAGGTAATTTCTGATGAAGCATGACCAGAATCGATCGGTTAGGATCTGACTATGCCTCCATTTCTCTTTCCAAGTAAGTTGGATTCAGCATAGACAGCCTGTGGAAGAGAAGCATCTCGCCGCCCCATTAGGAGAAGATTTGGCGTGATGGGGTCAGGATCTGCTATGTCAGATGAAGCATATCCGATCGGTTTGGAGTTGATTATACCTTCTATTTCCACCAGCACTGTGTGCAGTACTTCCTCTGAAACGGTTTGGCTTCCAACAATCTCTCTCAGAGCAGTTGAAGACAACATGATGATTGCCATTATGCTCCACAAGGTGATGAGGGGTATACTATGATTCTTCTGTCTGAGAGACTTGTTCAGGTTTGAGTTTTTCACATAACTAGCTTGTTTTAGTTTACTGATTTCATTATTGCATATGTCTGCCAATTCAGGATTGTTTTGGAGTTTGTCTTCAGATCGACGGAGAAGGGGCATAACAGATTCTGCTGGGGCTTTTAGTTCAGGTGCATCCTTTTTTCTTTGTGAAGGGGTTGCATAGCGTTTGGTACCATCTGTTTCAACTCTCACAGTTTTCTTATCCAGGAGGTCTATGGCGTCTCTATCTTGTTTTGACCTTGTGATTAATTTTTCGTTTCTGAAGGGAAGGATATCAGTTTGCCACCGTTGCTCTACATGGTGTTGAAGTTCTGAGTAGGGGTTAACCGGTGATGTTAAAAAGCACTGGGTAGCGGATGATGACTCACCAAGGAAGGTTGGTCCTTGAAGGGCCCATCCCAGGCGTGTTCTTACTGCTGCTGGAGCTCCCTTTGGTCCATATTGAACTCTCTCTATAGGTGTAATCAGGAAAGGATTGTCAGATCCGATGAGGATGTGTGGCTGGACTTTGGAGAAGGAGCTTAGTGGGAGACCTTGCAAATAGGGATAGCGTTGCTTGAGTTTATCTACAGGGTAACTTTGCTCGACAAGCATTATCATGTCGGAGGTGAAGGCTCTGTCAATTGAGAATTTTTTCTCAGGGCTTGATGCAGCAGAGATTTTAAGGTTAACAGTTTTCCCATTCAGGGTTTCTGTTTGCTGCCTTACTGTTCGCAGCTCGAGGTTTTCTGGTTCACCATCCAGTCCAAGGTACTCTGCAGCACCTGGTAGTAGCATTGTACGCTCAGATCCATCATCTAAGATGGCATATGTATCAAAAACTCTATTGTTGTGGTGAAGACTTACTTTTACTACTTTTAGCAGCACTTTGGATGTTAGGCTTCGTGGGTTCAGATACAACACTCTGGATGCTGTCTGGGTTTTATTTACATTGTGTAGTACGCCTAGGTGAAGGCCATTACATTTGGGACAGGGTTTTTTTAGAGTGCAATTAGCTGCTTTATGGGTTCTTCCACATTTCCAACATCTATTTTCTTCCTTTAGCCACTTTGACACTTTCTCAGGTCCTAGTTCTTTCAGACTTTCACAGTTTGTTAGGTAGTGGGAGGTAGATTGACAAAATGCACATGGGTACCTTCTTTCAGGCTGTTGTTGGTAACCAGAAGCACTTGGGCGGTGAGTGAACCTCCGGTCTGATCCATGGAGGATGGTGGTAGGATGCTTGGGTCTGTAGCTTGACTCCTTTCTATAAGTTTGAGGTGTGCTGATTTGAAGACTGCTGGCTTGTGCTACCACAGCTTGACATTCTGCCTCTCCCTCAAGCCATACTGAAAAATCCACTAGATTGTAATGAGAGGTTGCGGAAACTGAGCGGGCGTGTCTTGCAAAGTTTGAGACTAGCTCTACGGGAAGTTTATTTAACAATCTCTGGACATGGGAGGCACATGCTAATTCTGCTGCACTTTCTGCTGAATTGAGTGATTGCAACAGCCCTACTAATGACCTAACTTTGACTGCAAAGTTTTGGAATCCTTCAGCGTCTCCACGGGCCACTTTGGGGAGGTTGAGAATGGTCTGGATCTCCTTTAAAGCCAGTTGATGTGGTTGACCATACTGTCGTTCCAGTGCTGCCATTGCTGCTGTGAAGGGCTGTGGGTGGTGAGCATAAGACAGGGCAATATGTCTAGCTGAAGGGAGGTGAAGATGATCCAAAAGGATATGGAACTTAAATAATTCAGGTTCTTCTATTGGAAGAAGGTTTTTCAAGGCCATCTTTAACATTAAGAATTCCTGGGGGTCATTTTGGGTGAAATAAGGGAAGGATGGACCTTCAACACGTGAAGTGTATCGGATTTGTTGTGCAGAGGCCATAGGTATGGAGTAGCTTGAGTTGAGGGGGGCTCCTAGAGCTTGTGGGGCACCGGTGATTGGGGCTGGCTGAGGTGCAAGATATTGGGTATGGAGCTGCTGCACAGGTTGAGGGAAATGTTGATACTGATATGGGGCTGCATGACTTGGATGGTGAGCAGATGGCTGAGGATTGGTTGAGACTTGAGGTGGAGGTATAGGCGTTGGATGAATGGTATACGGCTGGAGTGGAGGCCCTTGGGTTGATTGTATTTGGCTATGAGGGCCATAAGGTGGCTGTGTAACATTAACACTGAGTGGTACTTGCATAGACTGTGCTGTTAATGTTATAGGAGGGTTGATTACTGGCCTGGTAAAAGGAGGGTCAGTAGGAGGCAGACTAGCAGTTGTGGGTATGAAAGGCCCAGAATGTGACACTGCGGGGGCAAATCTTTGAGGTTCAGGGTTGGAATAAGCTTGCTGGAATGGCACATTAGTTAGGGAGGCTGATGGAAGTGGACCTGATGGTACTTGGATTGGGGACTCATTTCTTAATTGTGGAACAGGAGCAGGTCTCTTAGGTTCACCTTGTGCTGCAGAGAGTGTGGGAGCATATGGGAAAAGGGTCTGAACAGACTGAGACATTTTACCAGGTTGCAATGCAAGCACTGATTCTGTTAGGTTGGGTTCAGACATGGACTTTTCACACTGTGGGGCTGGGAAGGAAGTTACTGGTTGGTTTGGCGATGATTGAGTTGTTCGGGGGTGACAATCCTCTTCAGAATCTCCTTCTGAGTAGCCATGTTCATATTGTTCGACTCTCTCATGTAAATCCTTGATCATGCTCTTTAATTGTGCCACTTCTTGTCTCAATAGAACAGTCTCTGAGGTTTGTGCAGCAGGTTCTGCACATTGACTAAAATGTTTGGGAGGCTGGCCATAAAGTTCGGTTTGGTAGTCCCGAAGATACCTGGGAGGCATTCTCTCTCTTTGTGGCCTTCCTCCGGCCTGACTGCCATCATGCCAAACTGAATTTGGATCCATTTTCAATATAGATGTTCTCTCCGGCTCGAAGGACCATGTAAAAGATTATGATGTTGCTGATGCTTGCTCATTGAACATCCTATATTGAGTGCACATTAAAACACAGGATCCAGGATTCAGTTTGACGGTTTATTTTGCTCGTCTTCAGTGGATGATTTTTTCTGTACAATCAAAAGGAATATAAACAAGATGTATCAACATAAAATATTACAAAAAAGGGGGGACTGATAAAGTCAAATGAATTATAAATTGGTTAACTAATCTTACATCATAGATGCATCCACTTCAGGGCTTAAATCAATACATATGCGTTTTAGGGCAACAGGAATCTAAAGAAATAATATTTGAGGATAAACCATATTAGAAACAATACAAATAAGGAGAATACAACAACATTTGTTAAGGCTTTGTCCGTTTCACACTCACAGTCAGATTCTCTTTGTTCAGTGCTGCTCTTGTTCAGGATGCAAAAGGGAGAGCAGGCCTGAGGGCTGGCTTTTATGGTGTTGGGGGTGTGGTTTGGCCTTGAGTGACAGGGGAGTCAGGTATGGAGATGGTGAGGTGAAAATTTGGGATTTAACACTATGGTTGAAAAACCCGACGCAGTATTGAAAGCAGATCACGTAGGATTAAATTCCACAAATAGGATTGAAAAATATATTTTTTTTATTTTTAATGTGTGACATTGTCCTGTATTATTGCTACATCCCTGCCGTTGTAACAAACCAAACAGTTTGAAAATCGAGCAGAGATTCAGAGAGTTATTATCAATATGGTTGGGCATTCTTACTTACCTTAATGCACTGGAGGGACACGGGGGACCCATCCAAGATGGCGGCCGCGCCGATACGAGAGCTCCAAAAGGCAGCGTCAGGTTTTGAGGCGTCTACGTATATAATGTCTATGCGCACAACGACGCGTCTACGTATTTATGTCTATGACGCAGACCCTGAATTGAGACACAGCCCATTTGCAGTTTGACGCCTCCTACTGTCAACAAGCAGCAGAACAAGGAAGTGGTCAGAGTTACTAGTTCAACCCGTTTGTGCAGAGCCACATTTTGGGTAGATATTCGTCACTAAAGGTAAATAACCCTACTGAGACAGTCTTTCTCGTAATGTACTTGTTCATTCCGTCACCAGAAAAAAACGACCGCTTTTAACTAGGCCTAAATTTGGTGTCTGGACATGGCTGCTTGCTATCGCCTGTCGTTTCACTTTCTGGTCGAAGTTATGTCAGCAGCAGTGTTCATGAATAAATACTTAACTACGTAGTTAAAATATTAGAAACTATAGGCTACCTCACTTATTCCGTTTTCATACTCTTGGGAGGTTACGTTCTTGGTAAAAGAAAGCCTGCACCACAATAGCATATTGTTTCCTTTAAGCTTCGCGCTGAACAGCTTTTCGTTGTCGGCCTCAATCAGCGTCATGACAGGGCGAAGTTTACATGAAAAACTCTGTCGATAAGTTTCAGACTTACGACCTAACAGAGAAGAAAATGTAATACTGTACAAAATGCGCCTGCCAAGAGGAAAAGAATTACGTATGTGTAGCTACCAGTTCAAATCACTGAGCAAAACGTGTTGTCGTCGTTTTTAGAAACTTTGCACTGCGTAAAATTTAACTGTGTAAGTGCAAGGATATGTGTGTGTCTGTCGGGGCGTGTATGCGCGTGTTTGTATAGCGCAAGGCACTTCAGTTAGTAATGCGAAATGACAATTTGATGCACTTTTTTTTTTAATTTATGTCAAATCACATGGTTTAGAGCAACTTTCAAGGCTGGACATAATAGTCTAATCTTTCCCCCCCAGCACTTTCCTGTAGTTGTCCATAAACTTTGCCAGGAGAGTGTACTGTATATTTTGTGGAGTGTTGCACAAAATATTTTACAATCTCTTGATGATGCTCAAAGGATATTGAGGAGTATACTGTGAATACAGATAGTCAAACCTTCCTCCCCCTTTTTTTTAACCGGAAAATAATAAATATTACCAATCACAATTTCCCAAAGCCAAATTAAGTGACATTTTCAAATTTACTGCTACATATGATTTTTTTAGACCAATATTTCAAATTGCACTAATAACTATGTAGTGTTATATAAAACAGGCAAAAGAGGAGTAAAAAAATGATCTCATGATTAATATTCCTGAATTATTTGCCTGTCTTAACAGCTTGATGGCCTCCACCATCAGTTGCAGGAAAATGAGAGATTCAATAAAAGCATGATAAAACATAATCACCATGTTTTATCGTGCTTTTATTGAATCTATTTGATCATTTTCCTTGGTGTCATGGTTTGGTCACACATCCTTGAAGGTGAGAAATGCCTTAAACCAAATAGTTAAATGGTCTTCTCGACTGATTGGTGAGTCACAGCTTTTTCTGGCATCCCTGTACACCAAACAGTTACAGTGGATAGCTTTCTCTATTCTAAATGACGACTCCCACCCTTCACACAGCGAGTTCCAGCTTCTTCCCTCTGGACGGAGGTTTCTAGTCCCCAAATGCAGAACTAAACATGTCAGAAACAGCTTTGTTCCTGCTGCTAGTATTGAAGTGAACAGGTTGTAGAGATTTTGCACATAATTTTGCACAATTAGCACATACTGCAGAGGTATTATTTACTTACTTATTTATGTTGGTTTTAAACTTGTTTTTACCTTAGTTTGTATCCAGAGGTTGTTTATTTGGGTTATTTATTTGCATTTCTTTATGTATTGACGTTTTTCGCCCTCTCATGTGTCCTGACTGGGGAGCCTTGGGGTGCTTTTATCATGTGTTCTGTTTTGTGGTTGTTTAATTACCTCCGCCAAGGAGGTTATGGTTTTGGTAGTGTTGGTTTGTTTGTTTGTCTGTAAAGTAGTAGGAAGTAACAGACAGATTGACCTGAAATTTTCACCAGAGGTGCGTCTCAGCCCCAGGAGGATCCCATTAAATTTTGGTGGTGATCCGGAAAAAATTCTGGATACTGTGATCCAGAACACACAGAAATAAAGGTGTCGTTGGAATTTTCAATGCTGAAAGATAACAAATGGGCGGCACAGTGGTCGAGTGGTTAGCACTGTCTCCTCCCAACCAGAAGGTCTTGGGTTCGAATCCCGGTCAGGGCATTTTTTGTTTAAGGGGGACATGAGCTGCTTGGCGGAGGTCTGCGCTCTCAGAGTGCTTTTCTAGTATTTGTACTGTAATTTGTATAAATGGACGTCATCACTTTATTTCACTGCATAACAAATCTACCTTCGGGTATTAATAAAAGTAACCTGAACCTGAACCTGCAGGCATTTACCCATGATAAGAAGGGCTATCTGTGAAACGGCTTCCACACCTATTACAGAGGGCCAGGAAGCTGTCAACAAATTACTAGATTTGCCATTCTTACATGCTCTTGTGTTTTTAAGGATGTCTTCCGATACCCTGGAGGAGAGGATGGTGGAGGTGCTATTGCTGCCTGAGGAGGTGGATGAGGAGCTGCTGTGTCTTTACTTTGAGAATAAACGCCGCTCCGGGGGAGGTTCACTGTTGTCTGTGAAGAAAAATGGGGATCAAGCCTTACTGGTGTTTGAAGAGGCAGAGGGTAAGTTGTAACATTGTTGTCATCAATATTTGTTCGTCTTGGTATTTTTTTCCTAGAGTTCCTTTCAAAACATGAAGGGACAGCTGTAGATTGATTTAACTGTAAAACCAGCTTTTTTGTTGTCTGTACTTGTAAGAGGTAGTGTATCTTCAGGGGCTGAGCAAACCAGCTGGATGTAAACTGGGTCGGTTGTACTGCTTACTTAAGACTTAGCTAAGACTAAATCTTTGACCCATACTTACAACAAGTGGACAACGTCTGACTGACACAAGTCATACGTAATTGCACCTGATCATCTGATGTGCCCAGAAACAGGCACTGTGAGTGTTGCCAAGTAACACGCTTCTATCCACTCTTCTATCCTGTTAAATAACTTAATTTGGGTGAACTTCATTGTGATGTGGAGGATACAACCCAAATCGAGAAAAATACAGATACCATATACCTTGAACAGACTAAGGCCCGAACTACACGAATGCGGATATATTTCATACCGCACATATTTATGTCCGATTAGGCCTCCCTACCACACCAAAACGGGAGTTTGGAACACTCAAACCGGATAAATCTGAATCCGAAAAAACAAGTGGAGAAATAAAAAAATATCCGTGTAAGTGGATTCATGTGGTTAAACTTTTACGGATCGATGATGTCAAACCACAGCTCACACATGCGAATTAAAAAGAAAAACAACAACAAAGATGGCGGACATACAGGGTATTCTTTACGTTTGTTTTGCCCTTTTAGGGCTTATTTCAGCCTTGCAAGTGAACCTTGTTTTATACAATTACATCCACCAGTCAGCCAGCTCACAGGGGCGTCTGCTTCGTTATAGCCGCCACACCGTCACATGGATCCGACGCACTAGCGTAGCTTCCGCAAACAATGCATGACGCATCACGCTGTTACGATTCATCGGCCAATCAGGTAGCTTTGTTCCTGAATTTTTTTTAAGCGGCACCAGATAGGATTGAGTTTGAAGGCTACGTGTGGACGCAGATATTTTTGAGAACTAACACGTGTGGACAGATACATTTATTTAGATGGGAGTACAAAAATATCCTGATAAATAAATATCTATATACCTGTAGTCCGGGCCTAACTTGTATAATTTTACATACTTGAGCCTGCTCCTAGGCAAAAAACTCACAGCTAGGTGTAACACAAACAAGGCTCGAGTGTGACTGGCACACATGGTTTAACTTGAGGTCTGTTGTAACTTTCAGCTCTAAGTCACAGACAAGAGGCATCAGCTGGGTGTAGCTTGGTGCCTTACATTATCCAAACACATTTAGTTGAAAAATGTTCTCTTTACAATGATACCCCTACTGTTTGTATACTACTGTGAAATTACTTATTTCTTCCTTTAGAGATTGAACTGATGAAGTGCATACTTAGAAATTCTTTGCTAAAAAAAGAAGCAACAAATGAAAGTTGTGCATTAATATTCTGTTTTATACATTGTACCCTTGGCTTAACCCTTTCTTGTTACTCTTTGGATTTCGACAGCTGCAGCCAGAGTACTTGCTAGAGGTCACCATGTTCTGCATAATGTTGAGCTGAGTGTGAGAAAGCCAGCCACAAAGGACCCACGTAGACTTGTGCTTCGTGGAATCAACCCCAACACCTGTACTGAGATGATAGAAATGTTTGTGGAGAATATGATGGGGTTAAATTTACCCGACTTCAGTCTCTATCTGTCGCCAGAGAGAGACGTCATCCTCATTCAGCTCATCCAACCCCTCTCTAAAGGTGAAGTATAGATTCTTCTTAAAATACACAATTTGTTTTGAGAACTTATTATGTATTAGAACCTTTTTATGACATTTTAATTGTTTGTCTGCAGATTTCCAAAGTATTAGTGATAAGGTCTCAAAGAGGAAACTTGATGGAGCCATATTGACAGTGGAACAGGTTGAACAAACGGACTCCATCTTTGTGGAGAACCTGTGCCCTGGCACCACTTTAGACCTGCTCACTTTGTACTTTGAGAACAAAGGAGGTGGGAATGAAGGGGTCAAGGAGGTTATAAGGCTTTCAGAGGGCACAGCCAAGGTGTCCTTTACAAACTATGACAGTAAGTTTTGTATGATATGACTTTTAAAACATGTTGAAGTTGACTTTTAAGTTTTCTTGAATTAACAAAATATCTCCCTGTATTTCTTTTTTGAGCTGTCAACGTGGTCCTTAATCAACCACACAAACTGGATGGTGCTGATCTTGCAGTAAGGCCGTACTTTGACTTTCTCCAACCTGAACAAGGTTTAACAACACACAACTCTGCTGCTGGGGGTCAAGATACAGCTGAGATAAACAATGGGGATCTGACAGAGATTCCCATGCAGACCACTCCTCTTATTTCTGTAAGCAAAAACAGTCAGTCCCCCCCTGAGATGGCCTCAGAGCCCCTTGCTGGCTGCGTAGCAGTAGAAGAGGATACAGTTGAGGTCATGGAAGAACAAACGCAGGAAAAAGAAGATCTACCCTGCCATATCACCATCGATGATCCATTAAAACTGGCTTTGTTTCAGCTCAGCCCCTTGAAACAGGACATTGAAAAGGCTCACCCGAATTTTACCATCCAAATAAAAGACAATAGTGTGTTCATCAGTGGTGCTGACAAACTGGAGGTGGAGCGGATTAGAAGCACTATCTTGAACTGTTTCGGTGAAATGGCTGACTGTCATTTAAATCTTGAGGGAGAGACAGCTAATTTTCTTGCAAGGAAAGACGTTAGAGAGCACCTGGTGAAAACGCTGAACCAAACTGGATTATTTTCATCGTACACTGTCTCAGGATGTAATGTTGTGGTGACCTCTTTAAGCCAGAACTCTGCTAATCGGGCATGCAGCTTTTTAAAATCTCAGCTGTGCCACTTTAGCATCCCAGTGATCCCAGAATATGAGTGCATCATTTATTGTAGGGAATGGACGACGTTTCTGCAGTCCCTGAGTTTTTCCTACGTAAAGCTGTCAGAAGAAGGAAGGAGTATTGATGTGATTACTCTGAAAGAGATGGAGAGTGAGAAGCAGACTGCAATCCTGAAGTTTCTTTCTACACCCATTGAAAGAGAGACGGTCATGTCTATGGAGCCAGGCATGTTGAAATACATCCAGAACCACTGTCATCAACTGTTGGCTGACATGGACCAAGTGTCTATTTTTCCTCTCGAAGCAGGAGATGTTTGTGGGTTAAAGGTTTGTGACGAATCAGTATCACAATTATTAATGTCCTATTTGATATACCATAAAATCCCATTTCCTCAAGAGTTAGGACACTGTAAATGGCTGAACGAACACATTTTGGTGGTTTGCAAATGATCTTATTATCACTATAAAATCAAATCTGGCCTAGATTTAATTGAAAATGGTGCAAAGACAACATATTAAATGTTGAGAATGAAAAAATTGTATTATTAAGACCACACTTTACACTTCAAATTGGATGCAACACATTTCAAGGCAGAAAGAACAGGAGCATGTTTATCATTGTGCTGCATCCCCTATTCTTTTAACAATACTCTGTATATTAGATGAGATTAGATTAGATACAACTTTATTTATCCTTTTGGGAGCAGCATATGTACAGAAAAGAAAAAAAGAATGATCAAATCAATCAATCAATCAATCAAATTTTATTTATATAGCGCCAATTCACAACAGTCGTCATCTCAAGACGCTTTTCAAGGAACAAGAGCAGGTCTGGACCACGCTCATTGTTTGATGATCAAGAACCAACCTAAGATGGGTTTTGGCCCATCTCAACTAACATGAGTTACAGTGGCAAGGAAAAACTTCCTTTTAACAGGCAGAAACCTTGGGCAGGACCAGACTCATGCTAGACAGCCACCATGCCGCTGCTGGGTTGGGGAGGAATGTAGAGAGAAGAGGGGAGAGGGGGAGAGGACAGGGGGAGGGAGAGAGACAACAAAATAGGGGAAAGGCGAGAGAGAATGAGTATGGAGAGGGAGGGGGAGGGAGAGAGAGTAGGGAACGAGGGTGAGAGAGAGACAGGAGGCAGCAGGAACAACAGCAACAACAACAACAGCTCATGTAATGGTGAAACAAAAAGAGGTTCAGTTTACAGGTTTAGGATATGAGTGATAATGGACAATGTTGAATTAATTGAGTGCGATTACAGTTTGCAGGCTTAATCGTAGTCAGTTCTATTTTGTATTATTAATGTCAATAATGACAGTGAGGCTGATGTTCATGTCTGCAGAAACAGTAACAGCAGCAGTCCGGAGGAATCAGAGAGAAGAAGGAGCTCAGGGCCGGGGGGTCACTGGTCAGTGACTTATATGGGACATAAAGATCTTAAGAGGAGATAGTGACAGACTCTAGCTCAGTGTGCCAGACAGCCCCGGCAGTCTAGGCCTATAGCAGCAAATATACAATATATATAAAGAGTAAAGATATAATAGAAATTTGAGATAAACACATTTATGTAACATAAGATTTCAAGCTCTGGACAATTGCACATTACTTTTGCAACAACAACTACTACTTCTGAGAGACTCAATACAGGAGCTTTAAAGTTGTTTCAGAATACCTTTACTTCATCAGAGTACTTTATCTTTTTATGATTATTCTGTATGTACCTGACAGATTCACGGTCCTGCTATTGCCTGTCAAATGGCCGAGGAAGTGTTGGAAGGTGTCATATCCTCTATCTGTACCCGAACCATTACAGTCAATGTACCTGGGGTTACGCGTTTTTTAACTGAAGAAGAGTGCAAGAGTATCCTGAAAGAGATGGAGACAAAGTTTCAGGTCGTCATCAACCTCAAGCGTGTGAAATGGGAACCCCTGCCACACCAGGTAATTAACAATTGAACAAAGTTTAAGTTTTTCTATCTTTTGTATTGAAACTACTTAACGCAGCTCTATTCCACCATATCTTGTTTCAGTTGGCCAGTTACTGAAGCTGTCAGATCAGTGGCAACAGGCATATAAAACAAAGCTCAGGTTTTTAAAAGTTGCACAATTCACAGATAAACCAAATTTAGACTTACAAGTCAGATAGGGAATTAGATCACCAGATTACCCATAAATTGATAATGTGTTGAATACTGTGTAATGTATCAAAGAAATTCTTGTCCTGGTTTGAGACAAAGAACCAGATTTTACTGTTTTAGTCACAAGTTTGAGTTAAACCTGTTTGCTGTAGAAATCACCATAGTTTTTTAGCTCAAATATCACAGACTTTGGTTTTATTGTGACAAAATGATATGAAGTTCCATGAAAACTGTGCAATGTAACAAAGAGTGAGGATCTCAAAACTCCTACTTGTCACAGTAAGCAAGGTGTGTTTGTTTTTTTACTCTGCCTGTTGTCTTAGATTGGTTATTCAGGGGTTTCATTGTAGGTACTTGTGTTATTCTTCTGCATCTCACTTAGTGAACCCATTAACAACTCATTTTCTTGCAACAAGTTCATTACACAATTTTAAATGGTGTGTACAGTAGGTGAAATTTTCTTCATTTTAAAACAGGAATAATATGACATCTTGTGTCTGGTATGCTTGTTTGCTTTCTTGCCATAGACTGGCAGGATCAGCTATCAGAGGGTTAAGAATGTTTCTTCCAGAGTCACAAGTGTTGAGTGTTCAATAAAACACTGCATTTTTTTTATTTCAGGACATTTTTGAAACTGCATGGACGATGATGTCCCACAAAAACTTCCAGAGAATGTCTTCAAATGGTTCTGCAGATTCAGTGCAAACTGATCATAATGGAACTGCAGACAAAGGACTTGAGGAGGGGAAGTCCCTTTCAGACAGACTGGATGATTTGGATAATGAGGACCTGTACACAGCAGACGAACCACTCACTGACGCCAGCCAGGATCCTGGTGCAATGGTTGTTGATCCCACAGCTGAAGGAAATGCCATTGGTGGATTAACCATGCTGAATGATGGAGCTCAGGGTCTTTCCACAGACCTTGAAGAAGAGGCTCAGTTGTCTTTGGCCATACAGCATTCTATGGAGTCAAGCCATTGGTCCATGGAGGATGAGGAGGAGCAGCTTCAAAGAGCCCTGGAGTTGTCCAAGGCAATGGTTCAACATGAAAACTCATTTAGTAGTGTTGATAAGAGCCCCAAAGAGAACAAGCGAAGAAGAAGTATGGATATATCTATACAGGATGCCGTTAAAGCGGCCAACACCGTACAGCTACATGTGTTTGCTGGTTATAACTGTGACCTGATCAGGGTGGACATAGCCTTTGGGAAGAAGGTTTCCCAGCGACAGGTAGAAGAGAGAGTGGAGCACCGAGCCATAAAAAACATGTCTGAATACCACGAGAACTGTCTGGAGATGATCAAAAGGAAGCATGGAGTCGACATCCAGATTCAGGGCACAATAATCACTGTTTCAGGTTTCAAGGACTATGTATCTGGGGGAATTAGGGATGTGAAACTACTGCTAGAAAAAATGTCAAACCACATCTCTAACCAGGAAATCCTCAAATCTATCCAGTGGGTGCATCATGACCCAGCCTCCAAGAACACAACTCCGTACTCACCAGATGCTACGGTGTTCATTGAGAACATTTGGAGGAGGAAGCTGCCAAAGATAGATATCTTGATGGACAAGCAACCCCACACCATAGATTTTGAGAAGATGTTGGAATACAATGTCGCATCAGGGAAATCTGTGAAAATCTCCAGGAGGATTGCCAAGTTAGGAGACATGGAGGATGACATACCAGGTAAAAGACACTTTGTAAGCTTCTTTTGATGTAATATTTCTGAAGAACTATGCCGGTGTGTACAGAGTTTGGAAATAGACATGAGCACAACTAGTTGCTTAAAAATATCAAGAAAACAAAAAAGCGTTGATCAAACTAGAATATATTTTATAATTTAGATCTTCATAGTAGGAATCTTTTGCTTAGATAACAGATTTGCACAACTTGGTATTTTCTCAGTCAGCTTCATGAGGTAGTCTCTTGGAATGACTTTCAGTTCACAGCTATGCATTATCAAGAGTTAATTGCTTGAATTTCTTGACCTCATAATGTGTTTTAGACCATTGTGTTGTGAACAGGTAGTGTTGTGATACCGTGAATGGCCCTATTTGAGTACTGTTCTAATCCATATTATGGCAAAAACTACTCAACTAAGCACAGAAAAACAACAGTCCATCATTACCTTAAGAAATGAAGGTCAGTCAGTCCGAAAAATTTCAAGAACTTAGAAGGTATCCCCAGGCACAGTCACAAAGACCATCAGACATTATGATGAAAGTGGTTCTTAAAAGGACCACCCCAAAAAAGGAAGACCAAAGGTAACCTCTGTTGCATAGGATTAATTAATCAGTTACCAGCCTCAGAAACCACAAGTCAACAGCACCTCAGATAAGAGCCCACCTAAATGCTTCACCGAGTTCAACTTGCACACACATCTCAATGTCAACTGTTCACAGAAGACCGTGAATCTGGACTTTCTGGTTGAATTGCTGGAAAAAAAAACACTTCTAAGAACGAACAACAAGAGGAAGAAAATAGCTTGGGCCAAGGAACACAAACAATGGCCGTTAGACCAGTTGAAATCTGTCCTTTGGTCTGATGAGTCCAAATTTGAAATTTTTGCCTCTAATTACCATGTCTTTGTAAGATGCAGAAAAAGTGAGCGGATGGTTCTGATGTGGTTCCGACAGTTAAGTATGGAGGAGGAAGTGTGATGGTATGGGGATGCTATGCTGGTGACACTGTTGGTGATTTATTCAAAATCAAAGGAACACTTCACCAGCATGGCTACCACAGCATTCTGCAGTGACATGCCATCCTATTTGGTATGTGCTTAGTGGGCCCATCATTTGTCTTTCAACAGGACAATGACCCTAAACACACCTCTAGGCTATGTAAGGGCTATTTGACCAAGAAAGAGGGTGCTGGAGTGCTTCATCAGACGACGTGGCCTCCACAATCACCTGATAAACCCAATTAAAATGGTTTGGGATGAGTTGGACCACAGAGTAAAGGCAAAGCAGCTAACGAGTGCTCACCACCTCTGGGAACTTCTTCAAGACTGTTGGAGAGCCATTTTAAGTGATTACCTCATGAAACTGATTGAGAGAATGCCGAGAGTATGCGAAACTGTATTTAAAGCAAAAGGTGCCTACTTTGAAGAATCTAAAATCTAAAACATGTTTTGGCTTGAATAACATTTTTAAGTTTAGTAAATGATTCCTTACATCTAATTGTGATACTGATCTTGTATTCCATACAAGTCTGGATGACTTCAGCACTAATTTACAATGTAGGAAAAAATAAATCAACATCTTTATTTGTCCCCAAGGGCGCGATTGATTTTGCAGAAGCAGGAGCACACAAGACAGAGTATACAAAACACATGGCATGATAAATTACAAAACATTGCAAATCACAATACAGACACAAGATAAGTTAGTAGGGAAGGCTGTTTAAGTCCGACTACCTTTTCCTCTCGGCATTTAAAAGAAGAATGGCAGAACGCACAGAGGAGTGTTTATCTGTTTGTCTTTGCAAATGGGAGTTTAAGCAGTGAACCTGATGGTAAAAACTGAAACTGTTTATGTAAGGCATGAGAGCAGTCGGACAAGATGGAGCTTGCTTTCTCAATCACCTGTTTGTTGTAGAGTTCTTGTAAAGGTTGTTGTGCAGACCCAATGATTTTACTGCTAACACTGAATTTGAAAACATTGAATTTGAAGGTGTTTCCAAAACTTTTGACTGTTTGTACACACACACACACACACACACACACACACACACACACACACACACACACACACACACACACACACTCATATATGAATACAAATTCTCAATTTGATAAAAATCACAAAGAACTTGAATCATATGTGGAAAATTGTATCTTATTTTCAGAAGAGGACTACTCTCTGCTGTCAAACCTGCCTGAAGCATGCAGAGTGAATGAGGAATCTGATGAATTTCAGACTGTGGTGAAAAATTTCTATGAGACCATACAGGAATATCACAGCAAAATTAGAATCATACAGGTAAAATAAGGTTGTCACATTGTTGCTTTTGCAACCAATTATTGGAGGGGTCTCTTTTAACAGTAATATTTTCTCTAGGTAGAGAAACTCATGAATCGACTCCTGTACAATCAGTACAAGCTGAAAAAGGCCAGTGTACTGCAGCGTGCCACATATCCTGTGGTTGAACGGACTCTTTATCATGGCACAAGTGAGAAGAGTGTAAAAGAGATCTGCATTCATGGATTCAACAGAAGCTTCTGTGGAAAGAATGGTAAGTTTTTTATGTTTTTGAATTTCTGTCTTGCTTTTACTCTTTTAATGAGATGTTTCTCTTGTTTTTAACCAATAACCTGTTTTTATGTTTCTTTATTGTGATATTTCTTTGCTTTTAACGTGTAGCCCTTTAAAGTCTCTTGATGGAAAGGGCACTACAAAAAAATGTATTTCAGTCAGGACCACTTTAGTCAAGATTAATTATTTATCACAAGCGAACATTTTTACATTGGCGGTATGGCTTTGTTCTGAGAGTTTCCTGCCCTTCCATGTGCTTACATGGAATGTCGCAGCTATAAGAAGGAAGAGCCCCTCCCTTCCTTTTCATGTGCAAACATGATAAGCCAAGGCAGAGACAGCAGCAGCAAATAAATACAGTAAATACAGAATACAAATAAATACAGAACAGAGCAAGCATCAGTGACAATGCATATGACACTGGTAATATTAGACGCAACATAAACATGAGGAGCTGGGGTGGAGGTGGGTTGCAGAGTGGTTGCAGCAGGCAGAGTAGGCAGGAGAAGCAGTTTAAATAGGGCGCCATTTTGACATTAGCCAATAGGATGTGAAGAGGGTGATCACCTGAGCTGTCAGCTGACTGAGGGCTGGGTTAAGATCAGCTGACTGTAGCCTTTAGCTTGATTCTGTGTCCTGTCTGAACTATTATTATTATTGTTATCATCAGACTCTATGTCATCTTTGGCATGATATGCTAATGTCTTGGTTTCTATTTACAGCAACTGTCTATGGTCAGGGGGTGTATTTTGCTGTCAACTCTGCACTGTCAGTCCAAGATCAGTATTCACCTCCAAATGCAGATGGACACAAATTTGTTTTTGTGTCAAAGGTTCTAACAGGAGACTATACTAAGGGCTGCCATTCAATGAAAACAGCCCCACTGAAGGAAACCGGAGACATACCCCTCAGATACGACAGCGTGACTGATGACATCACAAAGCCATCAATGTTTGTCATCTTCAATGATACGCAAGCTTTCCCCGAATATCTCATCACATGCCAGAGAATTCACCGCTGAGAAGACAGATTTATCGAAACTGAGCATAAAATAGAGACACCCCCCCAATTACTACTGTCTAATATATGTTCCTGCCTTGAATAAGAAGCACATTCTTTTCAAAAAGGGCTCATTTGTTGCTGTGCACAGTTGGTACTTTTATAATTGAAGTGCCAGCTTTTTTGTTGTCTGATCTGTTGCTCCACTTTTTGAACTGAAGTCAAATCTTATCTAAAACAAATTGTCAAGCTGAACAGAAGTCACCCATTTTAATGAAGGTAGTTTCTTTGAATCATTGTTCTGCACCATAACATTACTTCTTCGTTTTACAAATTATGTATGACTCTAAAATATAGCATTTGCTTTATGTCCTCATTACTTCTGGGTTTAGGTTATTAAGTCCTTTTTTATGAGTTAAGTGCTTTGCTTGAATCTTTCGATTTTATTTCTTTTATTTTGTCCATGTACAGGCTATGTTTACCAAAGTTTTGTTTGATTGTGTAAAAGATTTTCTGTTTCTTATTAAGAAATTGCAGTATTGTAAAGGTGATTATTCTTTGTTAGAAAAATAAAGATTCTCCTCATAAAAAACACAAGAAGTTGCTTTGAAACATTTGAGTTTCTTGAGCCTCAACAATAATTTTATCACTAATAAAGTGAAACTGCTCATAACGGTAAAGTGTTCTTTTGAACAGTTTAAAATAATACAATGACAAACGCTACAGAAATGCTTAAAACAAATCCAAATACCCTTATAAATAGATGAGAAAATAAATCAGAACAAGTCTTGGTAAAATATAAATCAAAATATATGAAGTTTCTCAGATGCAAAGAGAAAAATCCTCTCTAAGATGCTCATTAAAAAGGTCTACTGTTTTAATACTTTTTTTTTTGCTATCAATTAACTCAAAGGATTCAAAGTATAGTTTCGTTCAGCATTTTCTAGTTTACATTTGTGAATGTAAAATTTACCATATAGTATTAAATTTACAATAAATTCGATGTATATTTTTTACGTTTAAAATACAGCACAACAGCCTGACACTCAATAAGATAAGACGCAGCTCTTGTCATGAAGCTGGGATGGGGAATGATGCAGTTGCTCCCACTTTTGCAGTCTCCGGCTTGACCTGCCTTTGACCCACAATGTTGCCCAAGTACGTCACCGTGGCTTGCCCAAATCCACACTTTGCCAAATTTAAAGTGAGATTAGCATCACACAGCCTGCTGAACACCGTGTTCAGCTCCTGAACATGATCATCCAACCCACTGGAATAAACAACAGTGTCATCAAGATAAGCATTGCACCCTGAAATACCACACAGTACAGTAGTCACCAAGTGCTGAAATGTCAGGGGAGCATTGCGCACCCCGAACGGCATCATGGTGTACTGTAGGAATGCATCAGGGGTCACAAATACACATATTTCCCTCGCCCGAGGAGTCGGCGGCACCTGCCAATATCCTTTTAAAAGATCTAATTTTGTCACATGATTGCCACTGCAGACATGATCAACGCAGTCCTCCATACGGGAAGAGGAAAGCAATTTGGTTTTGTAACCCTGTTTACCTTCAGAAAATCTGTGCAAAACAGAACCATCAGATTTTGCCACCAGAAGACAGGGTGAACTCCGGGAGCTGGGGCTCGGCTCTGTGATGTCATTCTCCAGCATATAATCAACCTGCTTCTGCAAACGGAAACACTTATCAGGATTTACCCGATATGCATGTTGTTTAATAGGAGGACAATCTTCCACATCAGTGTTGTACTTCAACACGAGTCTTACTCGGAACATCCGAGAACAAAGAAGCATGACTCTCTATTAAACTGACCACATGCTGTCGCTGACACTGAGTTAAATGCAAAAAGCACTCATTAAGTTTGGACAACATTTCAGAATTCTTTAAACGTCCCTGAATGACTGCCCTAGACAGACCAACAACATTGTCATCTGCTGAGGCAGCAAGCGACTCCATGGGATCAGCATTAGACAGCGCCCCTCCTACCTGACCATGATCAATGGCTTCAGCATTGGACAGCACCAGATCTGTCTTTCCCTCCTCATGAAAATGCCTAGCAGCAGTTGTAGCCGCTTCTGATGTCTGGCATGGACCTGCTATTGTTGTTGACAGTTGTATGAGGTCAACCGGAAACAGCACCGCTGAAAAGACCCATATTGCCCCCTAGTTTTGGGGAGAAGGACACTTCAATGACAATCATTCGATTTTCTCATCTGCATGTATATGCGGACAAGGAGAGAAGCCTGATTGAGCGAAAAAAAACAAATTTTGAGCTTAGTCTGATGAAGCTCTGCATGTATACGTACTGACTGACAAAAGACACAGGGGCAGGGCTTCTGTCATAAGGTGGTTTTGACATATTCACATGACATAATCTATTTCTTCTGCACTCTGGAGTTGCAAATATGAAGTCTCGGTCATTTACCTTTCCAGTACTACATAAGGGCTGCTATAGCGAGCCTGCAAAGCAAAACCAGGAATGGGCAATAATACCAGCACCTTATCACCAGGACTAAAACTCCGGCTTTTAGCGTCCTTGTCAATCCACGTTTTCATTTTTGCTTGGGACAGTCATGTTTTGCTTAGCCAGTTCACATGCACGACTTAGTTTGAAACGGAAATTGCTGATGTAATCAAACAAATTGTGTGGTTTATCATTGCTCAGCCACTTTTCCTGTAGGAGTTTTAGAGGGCCGCACAGTGGCCCTCATTTATCAATCTTGCACAGATCTGAGCGCAGGATTCATCGTACGATAGGACACGTGACATTTATGAAAAGGTTCGTATCTGACCAATCCCAGCGTACGTATTATCGGGTTTTGATAAATGCAGCGGCTGAAATCAATCGTCATTAATATGTTTACGCCCTTAAATATTCATGGTTTAGAAGCCTCGCCCACTGAGGTCAAACATGAAAGAGGAGAAATATTACAAAGATGCGAAACTTTTCCAAGCTGAAAGTGGATGTCCTCGCATCTGTGGTGGAAACTAACGTGGATTTTTTTCTTTGGAAACATCAAAACTGGTCTAAAGGCAGTCCAGAAAACTCCTGTCTGGAGCAGGATCATGGAGGCGGTGAACAGCGCTGCCGTGGAATAGCGGACAGTGGCTGAAGTTTGAATAAGTCATTAGTCAAAAGTTGCTCATGATGATAAATTAATATCTAAATTAATATCTCATACATGCCTCAAATTTTTTTATTGCCATGACATAGGGTATGTTGCTCCTATTATTAAACGTATTTAGTTTTAATTTGTTGCGTCTTTGTAATGTAGAGCAGACTGGAGAGTCTGACAGAGGCTGAACAAAAATAATTATTAACATCACCAAACGGTGTGTTGCTGCCCCTTTTTATGGATTTCTATTGGATTTTTATCACTGATTAAATAGCAAGAGCACTTTCTAAACTCATACTTTACATGTCAGAATCCATCGATAAGGTCCTGTATCCTCTGTACAGCACCTTTGTGGAGTCTCTCCTCATTATTGTTCTCTGGGCATCAGGTCCTCACATTGCACCGGCACAGCCAATGGCACTCCATTTGCCCGTGCAATATTGTGCAAAACTGCGCTGTCTCAAATGATGTCCCACACCCTTTCAGGAGTGTACAACAACTGCTGGGCCAAGACAGAGACACCTGCCTTTTAGGAGTCAAATGCAGCGCTCCACGGTGGGGCGTGTGCGTAATGTTGAAACGGCGCTCCTGCTCTGTGACAGTGTTTCTGGGCAGAGTTATCAAATAGGCCTATTCACTAAGAACATAACAAATTTATTATATTTTATTTTTATTTATGTCTTAATCTTTAATGAAATCTGTCTCATAGTGCTTAATGACAGGTTTGAGGTTTGTTTATCAATTATTTTGAGACAGACATTTGCGAAACATAGTTTTTTAGAGTCTGGTAGAAATGCTCAATCGCACCCGGGCTCTCTGGATAATACACACTCAAACATTAATGCTTAATGTCAAGTTGTTTCATGACTTGTGCAAAAATTCATGACATGAAACTAGATCCGTGATCAGTCTGAATAGTTTCTGGTAACGCATAGACTGTATATAGAATGGGCGCCGTATGCCTCCTCACTGGGTGAAGCCACTCCGAGTAAAAACAGCACCCTCTGGTGATGGGCTGCAGTATAGGTCATAAATACCGCCATAAATGTTTCTCCCCCTTGGTTTAAGGTGACCAGATTTCTGTAATGAAAAGACGGGACTTTCGGTGCGCGGGGGGGGGGTTGCGTCTTCTATGCCTAGATCGTAAAACACCGGTGCATCATCTTTATTGGTCCCCGGAAGCTCACTTGCATTGTGGCTTTTTTTTTTTTTTTTTTGCATTCTTTTATTTTTGCAGTGAGTGACTTTTTTTTTTTTTTTCATCTCCACTTCTTTTTGCGTCATTAACTTCCGTTGTGGCTTTTTTTCTGTTTTTTTCATTGCCACTTTTTTTTTCTTCGTTAACTTCCTTTGTGCCTTTTTTTTCCTTTTCTTTTGCATCTCTACTTTTTTTTTTTTTTTGCATTGTTACCTTGAGTTGTGGCCTTTTATTCTGTCTTTTTCATCGCCACTTTTTTAGCATCATTACCTTCCATTGTGGCTTTTTTTTTTAATCACTTTTTTTTGCGTCGTTAACTTCCTTTGTGGCTTTTTTTCCTTTGTATCACCACTTTTTTTATTGCATCGTTACCTTCTGTTGTAGCTTCTTAAAAAAAAATGTATTTTGCATTGCCACTTTTATTGCATCGTTCACTTCCGTTCTAGCTTTTTTTTTTCCTTTTTCTTTTTTGCATCACCAAATTTTTTATGTCGTTAACTTCCATTGTGGCTTTTTTCTTTCTTTTATTTTTTGCATCACCACTTTTTTTTTGCGTTGTTAACTTCCATTGTGGCTTTGTTTTTTCTTTTTTTGCATCACCACTTTTTTTTTTTGCATCGTTACCTTCAGTTGTGCCTATTTTCTTTTTGCATTCTTTATTTTCGCAGTAAGTAACTTTTTTTTAGCATCGCCACTTTTTTGTGTTGTTAACTTCCGTTGTTCCTCCCCCCTTTTTTTGCATCACTATTTTTTTGCATCATTAACTTCCGTTGTGGCTTTTTTTTTTTTTTTGCAATATTTTTTATAGGCAACAGTGGCGGTTCTCGGCCACCGTAGAAAAGTGTTTGATTTAAATCACTCCTTGAGAAATCTCTGGAAACAAGCGTATGTCAACAAAGTTATCTAACATTTATTTTGAAGGCGCCTGACCGGAAGTGCTTCAAATGTAAAGACGTGGCTCTGTTTTATCAAGATGGCGAGGAGCATAGATAATGATACAGTCTGAGTTTCGCAGTCGTCTGTATATCGTGTATTTCAGTGAAGATGTCTAAAGTCCTCATGATCCGGGCTTTTGTGAACCAGAGACTGACCGCAGCTGCAGAGGAGATATCCGGCCTGTTCGAGAGGACGATCTCGGAGTACGAGGAGCAGCTGAGTCGGTCCAAAGAGGAGAACAAGAGGCAGCGGGGGTTACTAGAAGCTGTTTTCAGCCCCCAGTTTCACCTGAACAGATCAGGTTTGTTCATTTTCAAGCTTCTCTGTAAATTTACATTCTCTTCACATCAGCCGCTAAATGGGAGGGCGGCTGTATTCCAAACTTTACGGTACTTTGACAGCGCTAGTTTTCCGTCTCTGACTCTTGCTGCAAAACCCAGTTACCTTTTGATTAGTTTTAGGTAGATTCCTTTAACACATAATCAGTCATTAAATAATAATATTAATAAATAACGTTTTTATTTTTATCTATATTTTTATTTTTACTTATTTTATCTATTTATCTCTTTATTTTTATTTACTTTTTTTATCTATTTATCCCTTTATATACTTATTTTTTCTATTATTTATCTCCTCTGTCTAATTTATTTGCCCTGGAGTTACTGTGACAAAAAGCCGTTTCCCCTGGGTATTATTTAAGTATTTATGATTCTGATTGTGGTACAAATATTTTCATAAAATAACTGACTGTTTTGATCCACTTTATCAGCACAAAGTGACAGTTTCTCATTTCATGTTTGTTGTCGTATTTTAGTGTGTCCTCCAAACAACCAGCAGCTGTTGGGGAGAAAAGAGCAGCTCCCCTCTGAGCGAGAGGAGTGGAGCTCCAGTCAGAACCAGGCGGGCCCACCAGAACCCCAACAAGTCAAAGAGGAACAAGAGGAACAGTTGAGCAGTCAGACAGGTGAGCAGCTTTCAGGACCAGAGGAGGCTGATATCGACAGTTTCCATGTCATTGTGAAAAGTGAGGATGAAGAGGAAGAACCTTATACCTCACAGCTGTATCAAACACAAAATGAGACGATAGAATCAGGAGCTGATTTAGGTACTGAATCTGGTACTGATTTACAGCCAGAGATTGAGGTCAAGACTGAAGATCATTCAGAACCAGAGACTGAAGACAGTTCTGATTGGAGAGGGAGAAAAGAACATCAGTTAGGTTTATTCTCTGTGGAAAGGATTCAGGATAACAGACCAGTAATGTACAAGAAACTACACAGCTGCTCTTGGTGTGGGAAAACATTCCAGAGGAAACAGGTGCTTACCCAACACATGCGGATTCACACGGGAGAGAAACCATTCAGCTGCTCTGTGTGTGGTCAAACATTCATCCAGAAAGGACATCTAAACCATCACATGAGAATTCACACAGGAGAGAAACCCTTCAGCTGCTCTGACTGTGGCAAAAGTTTCATTCAGAAAGGCCATCTAAACCATCACATGAGAATTCACAGTGGGGAGAAACCATTCTGCTGCTCCTTGTGCGGTCGAGGATTCATTCAGAAAGTGGATCTGAATCGACACATGACTATCCACACGGGAGAGAAACCCTTCAACTGCTCCATGTGCGAGAAGAGGTTTAACAAGAACGGAGATCTGATCCAACACATGAGGACGCACACGGGAGAGAAACCCTTCAGCTGCCCCAAGTGCGGGAAAAGATTTCGACAGAAAGGGCATTTCTCCAGACACATGAAAATTCACACAGCAGAGAAACCCTTCAGCTGCTCCGACTGTGAGAAAAGCTTCATGAGTAAACTCGATCTGAGGTCCCACATGGTCCAGCACGGTGGAGAGAAACCCTACAGCTGCAGCGATTGTGGTCAGAGGTTCTGTTGGTACAAACAGCTGAAGAAACACAAGTGTGTCGGCAGTCAGGCTTCAACTTCGTTACAGCCAATCAGTGACGAGGACTGGGAGGAGACCAGTGAGCATCAGCCAGGTCTAAACTCTGAGGATCTATCAAACCTTAACAGGGACATGAGACACGAGGAGAGCAATGAGAATCAGCCAGGCCAAAACTCTGAGAATTTATCAGATTTTTCCATGGACATGAGACGTGAAGAAACCAGGGAACCTCATCCAGGTGTGTTTTCTGAGATTTTATCAAACCTCACCAGAGATATGAGATATGAAGGAGGGTGGGACGGCCCGCTCAGCAACCCTGTGACCAACCCATTCAGCTAGTGTTATCATCAGACACATGAGAGAAACCATGTAGTTATAATTCTGTAACAGTTGGAAGAAAGGTCAGTATTAGTGATAAAGTTTCACAAATTTTCACAATATGGATTGGACCAGCAGCAGGACAAACTGTCAGTCAAAGCAGAAACAGTTCAGGACTTCATGTTGTCTGGTTTAACTCTGCCTGGAAAGAAGCATCCTGATTCTTACCCATGTTTATCTAAAACTCCAACGAGCTGGAACCGTTGTTTTATTTTGGATCATGGTGTCAGACCAATGCAGCTCAAAAAATAAACCACCACAAACACCCGCACACACACCTGAGCACTGATTGGTTTGTGCAATATGAAAGTTTTCTTACCCATAGCCCCTTTTTTCAAAAATTTTTGAACATTAAATCATTGTGAATTAACCTTCCTACTGTGTTAGCTTTTACTATGCACCCACTTTGTTAAGGGTTGGTTTCAACCTGTGTCTTAAAGGTGGGGTAGTCAGGATCTGAGGAAGTTCCAGTTTTTAGGACAAATCTTGAATGTAAACTCTACCCCTCCCAACCAGTTTTCCCCTCAGCTCCTCCCCTCCCTCTCTTAAGCCCCACCCACAAACAGACACTCCTGCTCGCTCGTATCTTCCGAATTAAATTCAGATATAATACAGATAAATACTTCAGATAATTACAAATGGGGCCCAGTCAACGTGAAAGTAAAAAGCATTGGTGCTACTGTAGATGTCAACTGACACTTGGGTTATGCAACAGGACAACGACCCAAAACACACGAGCAAGTCCACCTCTGAATGGCTTAAAAAGAACAAAATTAAGGTTTTGAAGTGGCCAAGTCATAGTTTGAACTTAAAGCCAATTGAAATGCTATGGTGTGACCGTAAATGAGTTGATGCTGAAAACTGTCCAGTGTGGGTGAGTTAAAAAAAATTCTGCGCACAACCGTGGGCCAAAATGTGATGTGAAAGACTCATCAGCCCTTATCACAAGTGTTTGATTACAGTTATTGCTGCCAAAGGTGGCACAACCAGTTGTTAGGTCCAGGGGGCAATTACTTTTCACATAAGGTCATGTAAGTATGGAGAGCTTAAATCATCATTTAAAAACTGCATTGTGCATTTTAGGCTAACCTTATTAAGCTTGTTAACCTTATTAACCATTTTAAAGCTAACCTTATTAAGGTCATCTTTGTCTGATTTTAAAATTTGTGTGAGGATCTGAAACATTTAAGTGTGACAAATATGCAAAAGATAAGAAACCAGAAAGGGGGCAAATACTTTTTCACAGCACTGTAAATTGGTTCTCATCTCTAGGTTACCTTGTTCGGCCTCATTATCCATAAAAATATGGATTATAATATGTTTTGTTGTAGTCCTCTGGGCCTTTGTTTGTCAGTATACCCCTCATACAGACTTCTATACTGAATTGATCTCACATGTCTCTAATTAGGCTATGTTCACACTGCAGGTCAATTCCGATTTTTTTAACCATATGTGACACATATCAGATTTTTTCATGTGTGAACAGTGCGATTCAGATTTTTTCCAAATCTGACCAAGGCCTCTTCTGTATGTGTATATAAAGCGTATATGTATCCGATGTGACTGCAGTGTGGACGTTCAGGTCGTGTTCATCCGACCTATAAGTCATCAATATGCAACAAACGTCACCATTGTTCGACAACACAAACAGGCGCGGAAAGCAATTTGTACTTTGTGCGCATGCGGGTCAATTCACGGACGCATTCCATTCACATTAGATGCTGCATTCATTGTTGTAATGTGAACGACCGCACAAAAAGATCAGATTTAACGAAAAATCCGAATTGTGCATCATTACTTACAGTGTGAACGTAGCCTTATATAGTCCATGGACCCGACAAATATTTGGTACACTTCAGGGTGGCAAAGGTCCATTAAGGGGTAATTAACTTCATTAGCTGATAACCAATATTTAGCGGTGCACCTGGAAAGGTTATCATACAAAAATATAATCTACAGACGTGTCTTTTCCTCCTCCTCTTTTTCGCCCCGCGGAAAAATCGCAGCTGGTGTGGAAGCTTGCATTGACTTTATGCTGTTTTAAAAAAAGACGAATAAAGGCGAATAATTTGCCTGGCGAATTCGCGCCTGGTGTGTAAGAACTCTCAGCTATATTTAGCTATTTTTGGTCTGACTTTTTTTTTTGTAAAAATCTATGAAACAACTCGATCCTTTCAAGCACAGCAAATATATACACATCTTTTTTTTTTTCAGGACAACCTCAGCTGTCAGTTTATGGATGCAAAAATGATGTAAAATGAATGTGACAGTAGATTCAGGACCATCAAAGTCAAACAGAAATTGATCCCAACAGTATTTTGCTCAAAAAACTCATACATCTACAGTGACCAAGCCTTTTCTTATCTGAACATCATTCTCTCAAGTCTTGGCTATCAGAAGAAGAAATATTAGGATTGGAACAAACACACAACAGAACCTATTGGCATAGTTACACTAATTCGTCCAGGTGTTTTTTTTTTTTTTTTTACTATTTACAGTTTTTTATGCCGCTCCTTGAAGCAGTTCCTGTCTGGAATGAAAGAGGACCACATCATACTGCTCATAATCTCTTCTTTGCTTGTTTCCAAACATTGAGGACCATTATTTCTTATTTTGCAGACAAGCAGGGAACTTTCTTGTCTCTTGTTGATCTTTGGTTGCCTCTTATTGGACATTACCATCAAGGGAACAATAGAAAAAGAATATGAGACCATGTAATTGGTCGAAAGTTTTTACAGAAAAGGATGTCATCAAGGCAGCTTGTTAAATTATAAAACGTCTCTGATCAAACAACTTTTTTGTGGCCGGATTGTAAACCTTGTGGCAGGTGTAGAAGTGTCTGGAAACCCTCCATAGATCGCTAAAAGGGTAAGCTTTTGAACACTTTTTATCCCATAGGTATAGTTCCTAAGAAACTGTAAACTATATTACTGGTGTCACGTGGGATCGCTGGCATTTAAGTGTTCTTGAATGTTTGAAGTGGAGTGTGGGGTTAGGGTGTAGTTCCTTTTTCCTCCAGTAGGTGTCATAGACAGCCTTTTCATGATCTTGCCAGTGGCGCAGAGTTAAAGCTCTCTGTGCAGGCTTCCTTATTAAATCTGCTGTTTTGATTTCCTGTCCATGTAGACCGATTCTTTATAACCTGTTACTTCACTGTCGGTGCCTCGTGTATTTGTTGTTCCAGACTTCAGACATTTCCAGATGTCTTATTGAAATTAAACTCTGCTCGACCCAAAGACTGGGTCTCTGCATCCCTGTTCCCCACCAGAACACCATCCTGTTATTAAACCCAAAGAGGCAGGTATCCTCTAAACAACAACATTAAAGCAGGTCAGAGTTCAATAATCCGACGTTCCCTGAACTCCTCACCAGCAAGGAATCCTGGAGGAACAGCAGCTTTGACTCCGAGGAACGGCGACGATGAGCGGCCATGATGACGGAGTCCAACCCTCATCGAAAAACCAGTCTGACTCACTACCAGCTATGTGGTCCAAGTTCTGATACGGGTCGCACAGGGAACCAACAGACCCACACCCACAAAGTGAACAAGTTTGGGGAACTCCCATGATCCTTCACTGAGGATATTCATAATTCAAATGGATGGAGTCAAGAGTCTGGACCAACAGTCCTAGATCAACAGATGGATGAAGGTCCTAATCCTTTAGGGGCGCTGATGTGGGTATGTAGATATATTTAAAGTAGATATATTTACAGTAGATATGTTTGAAGGAGATAGTCAAAGTAGAAAAAGTTAAAGTAGAAATATTTAAAGTAGATATGTTTTATGTTATTATTTTAGGAATGAATATGTTTAGCGTAGACACATTAAGTAGATAAGTTTAAAGTAGAAATATTTTAAGTAGATATGTTTAAAATAGATATGTTTAAAGTAGATTTGTATAAAGTAGATATGTTTAAAGTAGATATGTTTAAAGTAGATGTGTTTAAATCAGATATTTATAATAGATACATTTAAAGTAGATATGTTTAAAATATATATGTTTAAAGTAGATATATTTATAATAGATACATTTAAAGTACATAAGTTTCAAGTCGATAAGTTTAAAGTAGATATATTTATAATAGATACATTTAAAGTAGATATGTTTAAAATATATATGTTTAAAGTAGATGTGTATAAAGTAGATATGTTTAAAATAGATATGTTTAAATTAGATATATTTATAATAGATACATTTAAAGTAGATAAGTTTCAAGTCGATAAGTTTAAAGTAGATATGATTAAAATAGATATGGTTAATGTAGATACATAATCAAAGTAGATAAGATTAAAATAGATATGTTTCAAGTAGATATATTCAAAACAGAATTGTTTGATGTAGACAAGTTTAAAGTAGATATATTTAATGTATATACACTCACCGGCCACTTTATTAGGTACACCTGTCCAACTGCTCGTTAACACTTAATTTCTAATCAGCCAATCACATGGCGGCAACTTGGTGCATTTAGGCATGTAGACATGGTCAAGACAATCTCCTGCAGTTCAAACCGAGCATCAGTATGGGGAAGAAAGGTGATTTGAGTGACTTTGAACGTGGCATGGTTGTTGGTGCCAGAAGGGCTGGTCTGAGTATTTCAGAAACTGCTGATCTACTGGGATTTTTTCACGCACAACCATCTCTAGGGTTTACAGAGAATGGTCCGAAAAAGAAAAATATCCAGTGAGCGGCAGTTCTGTGGGCGGAAATGCCTTGTTGATGCCAGAGGTCAGAGGAGGATGGCCAGACTGGTTCGAGCTGATAGAAAGGCAACAGTGACTCAAATAACCACCCGTTACAACCAAGGTAGGCAGAAGAGCATCTCTGAACGCACAGTACGTCGAACTTTGAGGCAGATGGGCTACAGCAGCAGAAGACCACACCGGGTGCCACTCCTTTCAGCTAAGAACAGGAAACTGAGGCTACAATTTGCACAAGCTCATCGAAATTGGACAATAGAAGATTGGAAAAACGTTGCCTGGTCTAATGAGTCTCGATTTCTGCTGTGACATTCGGATGGTAGGGTCAGAATTTGGCGTCAACAACATGAAAGCATGGATCCATCCTGCCTTGTATCAACGGTTCAGGCTGGTGGTGGTGGTGTCATGGTGTGGGGAATATTTTCTTGGCACTCTTTGGGCCCCTTGGTACCAATTGAGCATCATTGCAACGCCACAGCCTACCTGAGTATTGTTGCTGACCATGTCCATCCCTTTATGACCACAAGTTACCCAACTTCTGATGGCTACTTTCAGCAGGATAATGCGCCATGTCATAAAGCTGGAATCATCTCAGACTGGTTTCTTGAACATGACAAAGAGTTCACTGTACTCAAATGGCCTCCACAGTCACCAGATCTCAATCCAATAGAGCATCTTTGGGATGTGGTGGAACGGGAGATTCGCATCATGGATGTGCAGCCGACAAATCTGCGGCAACTGTGTGATGCCATCATGTCAATATGGACCAAGCTCTCTGAGGAATGCTTCCAGCACCTTGTTGAATCTATGCCACGAAGAATTGAGGCAGTTCTGAAGGCAAAAGGGGGTCCAACCCGTTACTAGCATGGTGTACCTAATAAAGTGGCCGGTGAGTGTATATTAAAACAGAAAAATTTTAAGTAGATATATTTAAAGTAAATATGGTTATTGTAGATACATTTAAAGTTAAAGTGGATGTGTTTAAAGTAGATATATGTATAGTAGATATATTTAAAGTAGATGTATTTAATGTAGATAATTTTAAGTAAGTATATTTAATGTAGATAAGTTTAAAATAGATATATATCAAATAGGATGTGCTAACATGGGCTGCAGAGTGGCGAGTCCTGATGTGGATTAGGTCCTCCTCAGCGGTCCCTGTGGAGGTCAAGTCCCTGTGGAGGTCAGGTTTCCCGTGGTCTTGGAGTTTATAACTAAGCAGAGATATTTCAGGGGACAACAGAAGATATGATGAGATGAAGATCATAAAATAAAAGAAGTTTTAAAATGTTTTTAATAAAGTCAAACAGGAAAAAAAGTTCGATATCATAACTACCTTGATATTAAATCCATAAATAGTGTGAATAAATACTGTGAATTCAGAGGTTTCATTATGAACCTCAGTGAGAAGAAAAGTCAGCTGCAGAAGAGTCCCACGTTTATTGGACCCATAAAAACCGACCCCAAAAAAAGTCTCCTGAACCGGTTCTGACTCAAGACCATTTCCCCCTAAAACAAAAGAGGCTCATTCAGACTGAAACTGACCCGTCAGAAAACTGTTGGCTCAGAGCTCACCATCATAGGGGGACAGCTGGAGAACGGGCCACAGACATCCAGAAGAATCTCATGAACCCCGACGGGAGAGGGACCTGATCCCTAAGAGCTCCACCACCAAGAGCACTTCGAGAAACTTCAGAAGTTCTGATCTGATTACACAAACCAGATTTAGCTGAGGTCCCGTACAGAGCTCGAGTTCAGCAGCTGATCTACTGACAGATATGTGCACGGATGAGTGTGTGTGTGTGTGTGTGTGTGTGTGTGTGGGCACGCGGCAGCTTTAATGAACTCTGAATGTAATAAATCTGTTTTTATTTGGGGAGCTGACTGAGACCAGCGCAGATCATCTCATCGTCTCCACAATATTAACACAGAGTCCACTTTTATTACACCCAGCCCTGAGTGTGTGTGTGTGTGTGTGTGTGTGTGTGTGAAGTGTGTTTCTGTGTGCTTATATTAAGATCTAACGCAGACTTTTGTTCTGAAGTTTACTGAAGAATTTTGGACTTAAGTTCAGTAAAGTCTGAAGTCGACTTTGAGACTTTCAGGGTTTAGGAGGAAGGGTTGATGATTGAGGTCTAGTCTTGACCCGGGTCATAGTAAAGGTCCCGGCTGTGGGTCTGGACTCCTAAGTTGAGGATTTACAATTAAACCCCGCCTTCTTCTACATGGTCTCTCTTTGTTTGCTTTAAGCTGATTTGCTGACAGATCAGAGAGAGAGACACTTAATGAATGAGACTCAAAGAGGAAACCTGAAAAGGATGAGAGTGTCAGAAATGTCAGGCCTGTAGGGGGCGCTCAGGAGAGAGAGATAAAAAGTTTATCATGATATATTTTTTTCATATCAGTCGAAATCAATATATATCACAATATAAAAAATGAAATTGAGGTCTTTGTGTCTCAGACTGAATGGTCGGTGCCATGGGCTCCTTACTCCTCTCAGGGTTTGTAACTTTTTGCGTTGTGCGTGCTCTGCGGCGAGTCGCTGCTTCAGGTGGTGACAAAGATTTGAGGTATCATTCATTTCATCGTCATTTTTCATTTTTCAATCATTTTTAAATGGAGCAACATGGCCGCCACGGCGCCGGTAACATCTTGCCTCTCTGCAGATTTAACCCTCACAATAAAAGCTCTGCACTGGTAAATGATCTGTATTAAATCTGCAGGCTGGCGGTGAATGGGAACGATAAGAGGAATATGACGCCTTCTGTTCACCTGTCCCAGTTTCCTCCGCCGCCACATTCACGCCAAGCTTCCTGTTAAGAGCTTTGAGTGTCTACGCCGTCTCCCCACTTCTTTTCAGAATCCATATTTGAAGTGAACGTTTTTTTTCGGGGGAAGATTTCAGAGGCTTTTGTCAGGCGAGCCGAGCAATGGAGTCGCGGCCCGCCACTGGATTACGCCCCGGAAAAAAAGGAAGTGAGCCGGGTTTCTTAATCGGCAGTAATCCCTCCATTCTTCTCCAACAGTTTGCCAAACTGCTGCAGCTTTGTGCAAAACTCCAGTTACTGAAGGGGAGTCAGAATTTCTAATATTTATCTGTGAATGAAGCTGTTGTGTTGAAGAGGCAGGAGAGGAGGAAGTAAAGCTCCAACAACAACTCCAACGTTCAGCTCAAGGGTTTATTTTCAACTCCAGTGAAAAGTGGAACGACTATATTGTCGAGACGCAGATTTTTTTTTATTATTATTATTATCATGTGATTGACTCAATACGTAAACTGAGCACTTCAGAAATCGGCCCTTTAAATGACACTTGGACGGTCAGTAAATCCTCCTGGCTCCTTCGCTGACGAGAACCAATCATAGGCCAAACTGCGTTCCATTGTTCCGATCATGCGCACACTCTTCACGTGTACTTGGAGTGCTTGAAGAGCCTGTGGTAGCATTGCAAAGCTGCGAGAACGAGAAGCAGGACTTATCCACGCCGGTGTTGTGCCGTAGAATGCACCCCTGCCATAGAAAGCCGCCCTGACGGGAGCGCGGTTGAAAGTACACAACAAGGCGAAATAATCCAAGTTTTGAGCCATCTAAAATAGCGAAAGCGGGCGTCTCGCGTTTACTGCTCTGCAGGGCTCTCAAGTCTCACGCATTCAGCGTGTGACACACGCATTCCCACCCGCTCACACGCCACCCATTGTATTTCTCACGCATTTATATGAACATGGTGATGTCCACAAAGTTGCACCTCTGTAACAATGGAACAGGTAGAAATCAACTGAGTTCCTCCGAGAGTTCAGAAGCTGCGTGCCACGCGCAAGCCAATCAAATAAAGTATATATACTGAACAGCCAATCAAAAAGCAGCATTGCCGTATCCGGGTAGATTTTGATATCTTACGGTTTGACTACAGAAGAAGACAGACACTCGCTGTAATAGAGCAGGTTTTTATAAGGACGAGATAGACCCGATGATTACAGTAAGTCAGTAACCGACACATGCAGAGACCTCAACACCTCATGGCAGATAAACTCATATGATAAACTAAAGCCCTATGCTATTGCTGTTAACAGCTGCATTGATGAATTAAGCCTCTGTGCAGCCATTTCCAGCCATTTTCCCCTCCACAAAAGCAGCATTTCTCATATATTCTTTTTAAATTTCTGACAGTGTAATGCTCATGTATTAAAGGATTAAGTATCTCTATGTGTGTGAAACCTATACTAAAGTACAATTCATCTAAATGCTCCTCAGTGCTGATTTCAGCAACTCTCCTCCACAACAGGTAACTTTACGACTTTATTCCCCCCGGCTTCTCACCTTTTCAACCCCTGACCCATTTTCATGCCTGAGGGATGTTAACAAAGGTGTAGTGCAGGTGTCTAAAATAACATAAAATATGTAAACAAATCAAATGAACCACACCGATTGTCTGTTTTCTCCATCAAAAGGTGCTGCTGCTGACTTTGTTCACTACTTGAGACTGAAATGTAAAAATGTCAGTATATTTACTTTCCTGGTTTGTAATCTGTGAGGGGAAACGATGAATAACCTCTCAGATGGCACGCTGGTCGCTGGGATGCACAAAAGCTTCCTCGCAACCCTTTGTAGAAGCCCAAATACGCCCAGACTTCGGACTTTGTTTTCTTTGACGGCGGGGAAAACTCTGCAACACGGTCTGCAGAACTGCCCGCAAAACTGCCCTCCGCCGTGTTTACAAGTTGTAGTGAGCAGTATCACTGTGAGCTAGGGCCCGACTGCTATGGATGGCCCTATTGTGAGCTTTTCCAGAGTACAGCAATCAAACACGGTTTTAACGGTAATTAAAATTTGAAACGGTCGTACTAACCATCAGACATTTCCCCGCGGTCTGGTCCACCTCCGTGATGCTGCAGCTACCAGCTCTGTGGGGGTGTGAAGATGTGGTTAATGAAGATGAAATGAAAGTCGGTGAGCTTTAGTTTAACAATGCTCAGTCTCCCTCCTTAACACTTCCTGTCCTCTCTGATTTTCTGAGATGCTCACGGCAAGCCGACATAGCAGGACGCCTCATTTACAAGTCCAGACTTAGAATCCAGAAGAAGAGGAATCTTCAGTGACAGAAGAAGAGGAGGAAGAAGAAAATACTGGGAGGAGATGTGAGAGTGGTGGGGGGGCTGGAGGTGAATTATCCGCTTTGCTTTAATGATGGAGACAGAAGAAGAAGAAAGGCTAACAGGACTGCGTCTTTATCACCCGCAAAGTCGAAATTAAGACATCAGATCCTCGTTTCTCCAACTCTCTGTGAACCGAACGACCAGGTTCTCCCATGACTCCGTCAGTGCGTTTTATTCCTTTATAGAGTCTTATGACCTCTGAGCGGGCATGTCACTATTTATACAGCTGAAGCCTCCATCCTCGAACAGACCTGACCGACGCTCGTTTATTTACGTTCTGAGCGCCAGATTTTGCACGACTGAAACTCAGAAAGAAGGACACGCCCTGATTTACTCTACACCAAACGGCACAGACTGAGTGTTTGAGGTCCTTTACGGTAAAGTCATGGTTGACGATTGAAGAGATTGGTAATTATTATGAACCTATTTCTATGGCGATCATGGTGCTATAGTCTCCACAAAGTGAAGAGATAAAAGAACGGAAAAAATTCATTCACCCTAGCAGGTGCAGGGCTGCGAAAAATTGACCAATGGGAGCCATCATTCCAGGATGCAGGAGCTCTGAGCGGCTAAAAGTGGCGTAGCAGCTTAGATTCAGGAGCTGTGATGGAGAAGGACGCAAAAAAAAAAACTATTCTGCTCACCCCATCGCCAAAAGTGGGAAGAAAACGTAAGCTGACAAAAGAAAGGGCGGAGTCGAAGAGGAAATGTGACCAAGCTAGGAATCTAGCTGGAATAAACTTCGGGTAATCCTTGGAGCGGTGGAGAAAGCTCTGCCAGGATTTGGGCCTGAAAACAGATGCTGAGACAGCAGAATTTTTGTTGAACAGGTAATTTTTATCGCCTTTTATGGCACTTGTTACTTAAATAACTCTCATTAGTCTCTGTAATGTCAACACTGTAGCTGTCCAGGCAGCTGCAGACGGTGCTCGGTAGCAGAGCTGGCGTTTACTGCCGCTAGTCACAAACAATCCGACATGATGAATCCTATTTGAAGCTAGCGTAGGATCTTCTGCCGGCCGGCTTTTTGCTCTGCCAGAGGGGGTGTGTCGTTAAGAGGAGTATAAAGGTTCAGGGGGGAGTTATTGTGCAGCTCAGAGGTTTGTGTGTGGGGGGTGGGACGCTTTT